ATAGATAATTAGCAGCTCGGCTTATTCTATTTGCTTTAAGTTCCAATTTTATTGCCGAATTCACAACAGCCCTTGGATCGCGAACAAGTTCAATAATATGAACATCATATCCTTTTTGAGTTAGATGTCGAGCAATGTCTTTAAATGATGCAAGTGAACAAACGCGTATAATCTTGAAGGCCAAAAGCTCTGCCTGTCGACATACTTGTGACCAAAGCTCCATGTTTAATGGAAACCCACAAACAGCTGATCTGCGATCAAACAGACGACTTTGAGTAGAACGCCTTCCAAGCTTTTTTGATCGAGTTGCGTAACATAATGAAGCATACCTGTTGAGTGCGGGTTCGAGGTTCCCACTAAAACACACGCCTTCTTTCCCGCACAGTTCCGCTGGTTTCGAACTGCGTGTTTGAGTTAGAAATGCTTCAGTATATTTTTCGGTCAAGTTTTTATAGTTACATAGCGAAATATTTTTTAAAACTTGCAATTGTACCTCCTCGTTTTCGCAGCTCGGGCGGAATGGTAATAGCGGTTCAAACATATAAAAAGCCTTTTCGTTATGATTGAAGAGATCTCCAAAAAATGACGATCCTGACCTTTGATTAGTTAAAATAAACACTATCTTATTTGCGTTCGGATACAATTGTGCGTCTTTTACAACAACTTTTCGATGTTGACGAGTATAAAACACGAGAAGTATTAAAAAAGATAAGCTAGCCAGCACTTTCCATCTCATATTCATACAATCCCAAATCTTTATCGCCATGAGTCCAAGTGTTGTTGCTGAAACAGGCAGCTTTCTAAAGAATGAGGCATGTCGCACAGCTCATGTCGCTCGAGGTAGAAGTTAGACCTGCTTCAGCCCCAGGCTATAATGTCGCGTCAAATATTCGTAGTAAACTGAAATGGTCGGCATATCATGTAATTGTTTGGAGAATCAATGATTTTTTTTTTATACACTTTGATGTAGTTGATTTAAGCAAATAGTTTTATAGGAAATATGCAATTTTAAAAGATTTATCATTGGTTTGATTAATCAGCTGATAATATACAACTTTAATCAAGCAAAGGAAATGATTGTGCAGGTGCCTCTAACTTTTTTAAATGATTCTGGCACTGTGCTCGTCAACCGGGTGTAAAATACACCACAGAGTGTATCAAAAACCTCAATGGGTGTATCACATCGATTGGGTGTTTAGAATGCGGTAGTAGTGTATACAAGTATATTCCAATACTCGATACGCTTGTTCTAAATGTTTTCAGAGAAAATTGGTAGCTTGACACAAATAAAGCTCTTATGTGTTTAGACTTAAGCACAACGTATACTATGTATACCGTTTCCCAAGTTGTTATTACCTGCTTGTCATAATGCCAGCCCATCAACGGCGTGCTGTTGTTATTGCGTAAATCATTTTGGTGAACTTCTTGAATTTCGATCAGATTTGGTACATAGCTTAACACATATAAAAACTACAACACAACTGTGGATAGCACTTCTAGAAGATTTTGAGTATTATATTCTTGCACGATATATTTTTTCTCATTTTCGTTCGAATGCCTACAACATTTCTTTCCGAACAAGGGTAACCCCATAAAACTAATAGAAAAAATGCAGATATATTAACGAGAGAGACATTCGAAACAAGCCTATTATTATTACCTCGCATTGTATACCTGGCTGGTGAAATCCCGGAGCAACTTTAACATTGAATAAATAATGAAGTATTAGGTCGGTCTATGATCATGCATAGTATTTCAAGACGATTAAAAATGTATGATTGCTGGAAGGTACCAGGTTTTGAGTGAAGGATAAGAGGGTGTACCTTTTCGAAAAAAGGTTGAGCAATGTGACTGGCATGACAACAATTTTTATGTACAAATAATAACAATCAAAAGTTGATTATTCCTTAATATTTTAAAACATTTTAATGTGGGTGCCATTCTAAAAGTCATCGCTGAACCCCTCATCATGAATATTTCCAATAGATGTCGTTTTAGCTGAAAGTGACTTCACTGTTTTAACGGCCTCGGCTACCCCAATAGATTGGCGTTGACATGACATGATTGACGCCCCACCTGAAGAAAATTGTGGGCAGCTATCCTCTCTAATTCGGATTGTTACACCCGTAAACGCAAAAAATTTTCTTAATCGAGTGAATTACACGCCTGGAGAAGGGATCGAAATCCCACGATGGTAAAATACGCCATCCGGAAAGCCTAACTGTGTACACCAAACAGCTTTTTCCAGCATAAGAAAATAAATCAGCGGAAACGTCCAGAAATATACACTCGGGAATAGGATCTGATGTCATTGGCTCCTTCGGCAACTTTGGGACATTTCTTGGCACTTGTCCACACGATTGGACAACATATTCGATATCAACGCTCATTCCGGGCCAATAGATAATTTGTCTTGCACGCTTTTTATACGGACAATGCCCTGATGCGCGTCGTAGAGTCGATGTGAAGTTTCCCTTCTTGTCTTTCGGGGAACTACACTACTGGCATTATCTAATATCAAGCTGTCGTCCACACTCAAATCATTTCGTAATTTCCAAAATGATGCTTGTTCACATTTTGACGGAAACCCTTCTTTGACCACTCTGATCAAATTTTGGTACTCTTGATCCTATTCAGAGACTTCGCGGAGACATGTCAAGTTATACCGTTTCAAATTTTTGTATTCCGCCTCAAATTGTTGCCCTAATCGGGATCATTAGTGAGACTGCTGTTGTAAATATTGAGTACACTTTCACACATGCTCCCTCTTCAACTAAATTGAGCAGCTTTAGTTTCTATATTGAAGACAAAATGTGAGAACATGTGGATTAAATTCAGGTATTCCGAGCCAACCTCAAATATTTCAAATATTGTATGTTATGAGAATTAGGTTCAGTTATTCCTGTTGCAGTGTGCTACATTTTGTGATGCTTTGTTTATGTTCTGTCATTACTTATCGATTTTAATCAGTAAGTATGTTGATAGGTATTTGTCTGTTTGTCTATCTGTCTGTCTGTTTGTCTGTCTGTCTGTTAGATGCAGTCGATATCTCACGAAAGCAAGATTCAATCTGCTCCAGATTTTGCATGTGCATTTATCATATGTCGGACCAGAAGCCTATCGATTTTAGACGAATTATGTCGTATAATTAGCGAGGTATTAATTAATTAGTGACGGGACACAAGGTGTCACTAAGGAGTGAGAGCGCTGTTTTGGGGGATCCCCTAACTTTCGATCGAAAAGTCTTCGGTCTCTGACCGATATTCTCGTTATTTCATTATCGTTCTTTGAGTTGTGATCACTGATTACCGTCAAGCGACAGCGGACTCCATCAGACTTACTGCATTAGTTACGAGCTGTTACGAGTATTAGACGTGGCCCGATTAAGTTTGGCTATACTTAGTGACCTAATGTAATTATGTTGCATGTTCTTGTGTTTAGGTTAAGATTAGTTTTTAGTTTCTTAAGACCATAATTCTGGTTATAATAAATAAACAGTTGCTGGTATCAGTGGGCCAATGTTACAACATTGTGTAAACCTACACGAAGAAAACTACAATATCTGACTTGATCTTTTTCTTAACAACTTCAAGTGGTTGATAAATAAACATAATTCCGTTTCAAATCCATTTCCACCTGGAGAAAATGAAGTTTATTTAAGACTTGGATTAGGCCTACTGAAGGAATTCGTAAGTCCATAACACATAAAAATAATATGTTCAAAAAAAAATGTTTGGAAGAAAATTGGTCCCAGCGTCTCTACTTCAAAAAATACAAGAGGGAAATAAAAACTAATATATTACGGTAATATCCTTGAGAACAACAGAAGGGACATTAAACGCCTGTGGAGAACATACACGCATTTGTGCATGAACTTAACACTCGCTCTTCAACTAATGTCAATCTCCTTGTACCTCGTTTTTCGCTGAGCAAATCTCAAAACTCCCTGAATTACGAAGGCGAGATTAGCTTATGATATATATAATTGGTCTCTGATCAAGTACAAATCCATGGCTATCTTTCATATATTTTTTGAATAAGTTTGTTCTCCTCATATCAGAATAATTCTTTATCTTTATGTATTCTATGAATTCATGATGATTTCAGTACCTTACCTTCCAAAGCACAATACTTGCGACTGTCTCCACGCACTGTTATTCTGAACACCGTCAAACAAATTAATATTCTCAAATATAATCTGGACCGTTTTATTGGCCTACCTTCCATCACGGGATATATATGGAAATCGTATTCAAATAACCACAGGTTCCATAATGCCCGTATTCCCGCCGCCGTTTCCGTCGTTACTCGCATAATGGTGCTCGGAGTCGTTTTACGTTTCTTTTTGTATCGGGCTTCTGGATATTCAGGTCGCCTCGACGTACTTTGACTTACCTCATCTATTTTAACAGTCATTGTTTGAATTTTTATGCTATATTCAATTACTGTTAGGCTTACTCGCAGATGTCGATGCTAGATAACCAGTATTGGTTTCTCGTACCTCTCTTCACCCCTAAATACCAGTTTTGCTTCCTTACAATATGTATTCGCGAAGTGTATTTTATGTATGGTGAAAAATAAACTACTGATTACGTTGAATTTTCCAAAATATTCTTAGTATAGATGTTGCACAGAGTTTGGTAAATACTGAAAAGTGCGGAAGGGTGAAGGGACCAAAGGTCGTTGTTTCACGTCTTACCGAATGTGACTAATCCCAATACATCCATTCATATCCATTTATCTATTAACGCATCCAAAATCTTCATCAAGGCCATATACTTCTCTAATATAGGCCTACACTAATCCAGAACTAACGACCGTGCTCGTTTCTTCCTCTTACTCGATAAGATCTATGTTTCAATCTCAATGGCAAAGGGACCGATTTCTGACCACTGTCTATCTATCCCCATAAGACCATGCTCCTTTTTCATTATTCACCAACTGAATGTGTTTCGTGTAAAATTCCCCTCATGGTTAACTGCTTTGTTAAAAGAATTATCTCATTCATTGAGTAAATTGTATTTGTATAGAAGCTTGAAACTAATAAAATATAATTTTTAATAACTAGTGTTAATTTTTTTTACCAAAGTTTTATTGACAAATCATTAAGTTCTTCAGTTGTGTGCAATAATTTATATCCAAGTCTGTCCATAACGTCTTTGCATTTGTCCTGAACTTGATGTATTATATCCATTGACAATTGTTTTCTCCACTTCGAAATAATTTGACGTGAATTACGAACTGTCCCGTATGGATTATTGGATTCTTTCAATAACTTTGCAAGTTTGATCCTGGCGCGAATTCGATCCTAAAAAAGATAACTCATTATATTTTCTTTGAAATTCTATCACTATCAGTTAGTCATGTATCGCTCGGCAGTGAAGAATTATAATTAGATTGTTTCATAGGAGTTCCAAGAGTCGGATTTTGACTTTCATCTTACCGATTCCGGAATTGCAAAATTTTGTACGGTAGTTTGCAGTTCTTTTATCTTTTGTAACGGATTTATCGATGTCTCGTCCACCCATTCTTTGACATCATGTGGTAATTCCAATCCAATGTTGCTAATATGAAAATAGAACAGTATAAAGTGACAGTACAGAATAAAATCTCCAACACAAACATACCAGGTGTGCTGATTGATGAATTTGAGTTCGGGTTTATAACTTTAAATGGGCAGTCATTGTTTTATACATTGGAATACATTTTTAAGCTTTTTTCGAGGAAAAACTGTTCATAAATAACAAAAGCCACTCAAAACGTATGAGAAGCCTCAGATGACCCCAAAGCTAATTTTAACTTTGAGGCAATTTCGTGTCGGCCTAAATATACTTTAGTAGCTAGAAGTCGTTTTGAGTTCTGTCTGCTCACAACTTCAACTAAAAATATAAAAAAATAGTCCTGCGACTAATTCATATTAAAGTCTAAATGGTTTTATAAAGGTTTTATAAAACAATAGACGTATGTACTATTATGAGTAGTAACTAAGAATTAGAATTTCTATCCAGCAATATTTTTAATTCAGTGCGTGTAGATTGCACTTTGTGATATGGATTTACTTTTTTACATCGGCATATATGGTTTCAAGGTATTTTGTGAATGCATGGTTACTGAACTTGCTACCAATAAAAGATGTTAGGTATATTCAGCCGACGCATGGCATCTCCGTCGACGATAATGAACTCGCTAACGCCAGTGATCTCTCTCATATTTGCATATCGGGATCGTTACGACGAGAAAACGAGAGAAATAACATGCTTGATTTCGAGTGATCGTTTGCGCGTTTTGGACGACAATCCGTATACTTCGACCGGCCTTATTTCGTCACTGTGACGTAGTCAAATGGGAGTTAAAAATGACATATGCAAAAATAGTTGTGCCACGCTAATTAGAAGTACTTAACGGCATTTAGTGATCTAGCCCCCATATTTCGTTGGTAATTCGATGTTATAGGATTTGAAAAGGCATTCTTGCCTTAACATTCATTTAGTTACTAAAGCTTTTAATCTACGATACCTTTTTTATTAAAATAATAATAATAATATTAAAATAAACAGTTTAGTTTTCCTTCAATCACTATAACATTTATTTTTTTTAATTCCTCAGATCTATATGCTAATCACGAGATGTTGTAACCCGGGGTTCCAGTAAAATATTGTTCCAGTTACAGACAAAGCTTTATGCAAAATCACATATATATCATGCAAAATATTTACTTATATATCTCCTTGACTCCTTCGATTGGGTCTATGGCTATGTCTTCATATCGTACTCGCATATATCTGGCATGAGACAACTGAATTTTCATAAACTGACTTTCAGTATCTGAAAAATATAATATAAGAAGTGACGCATTAGTTCATATCCTCATTGATTAGCTTTATTGATACGAACAATACAAAATGGGTGAAGAACGTAAGAGTAGGCTTGCATTTACCTATAACATTTCCCTTTTCGGCAAGATCAAAATTCGTTCTCAATCGATCGCATAGACGGTTGGAAGCTCGGCTTATTCCCTTTGCTGAAAGTTCCAACTTCATCGCCGAATTCACAACAGCCCTAGGATCTCGAACAAGTTCAATTATATGAACATCATATCCTTTTTGAGTTAGATGTCGAGCAATGTCTTTGAATGATGCAAGTGAACAAACGCGAATAATTTTGAAGGCCAAAAGCTCGGCCTGTCGACATATTTGTGACCAAAGCTCCGTTTTCAATGGAAATCCACAAAAATGTGATTTGGGATCAAATAGACGACTTTGAGTTCTGGCAGAATACGTCCCAAGCTTTTTTGATCGAGTTGCGTTACATAACGAAGCATACCTGTTGAGTGCGGGCGCGTGGTTCATACTAAAACACACGCCTTGTTTTCCACACAGTCCCGCTGGTTCCGAACTCCTTGTTTGAGTTAAAAATGCTTCAGTATATTTTTCGGTCAAGTTTTTGAAGTTACATAGCGAAATATTTTTTAATACTTGCAATTGAACCTCCTCGTTTTCGCAGCTCGGGCGGAATGGCAGAAGCGGTTCAAACAAATAAAAAGCCTTTCCGTTGTGATTGAAAAGATCCCCGAAAAATGACGATCCTGACCTTTGATTAGTTAATATAAAAACTATCTTAGTTGCGTTCGGATACAATTGGGCGTCTTTTACAACAACTTTTCGATGTTGACGAGTATAAAACACGAGAAATACAAAAAAAGATAAGCTAGTAAGCGCTTTCCATTTCTTATTCATACAATACCAAATCTTTATCGCCATGAGCCCAAGCGTTGTTGCTGAAACAGGCAGCTTTTTAAAGAATAAAGCATGTCGCACAGCTCATGTCGCTCGATGTAGAAGTTAGACCTGTTTCAGCCCCAGGCTATAATGTCGCGTCACACATTTGTAGTTAACTGAAATGGACGGCATGTCATGTAATTGTTTGGAGAATCAATGATTTTCTTTTATCTTTTATACATACTTGATTTGAGCAAATAGTTGATTTAAGCAAATAGTTTTATAGGAAATGAGTGATTTTATAAGATTATCATTGATTTGATCAATTAGTTAATAATATACAACCTTAATTAAGCAAAGGAAATGATTGTGCAGGTGCCTCTAACTTTTTTAAATGATTCTGCTCGTTAACCGGTTGTAGAGTACACCCAGAGTGTACCAAAAACATTGAAGGAAGTACCACATCGATGGGGTGTATAGAATGTTGTAGGGTATATTCTAATACGCGATACGCTTGTCCTAAATGTTTTCAGAGAAAATTGGTAACTTGCCATAAATAAATTACTCAAGTGTTCAAACTCAAGCACATCGTATGTAGAGCGTCTCCCAAGTCGTTGTTTCCTGCTTGTCATAATGCCAGTCGCTAGATTCATCAGGGGGCGTTCTGTTGTTATTGCGTAAATCATTTTTGTGAATTTCGATCAAATTTGATACGGAGTTCAACACATACAAAAACTACAACAAAACTGGCACTTTTATAAGTTTTTGAGTACTATAGTCTTGCACACAACATGCTTTTCCAAACAAGGGTAAACTCCATAAAACTAATAAACAGGATGCAGATATATTAACGAGAGAGACATTCGAAACAAGCTTATTATTACCTCGCATTGTATAACTGGCTGGTGAAATCCTAAAGCAACGTTAACATTGAATAAATAATGAAGTATTAGGTCGGTATGATCAGGCATAGTATTCCAAGGCGATGAAAAAGGAAAGATTGCTGGGATGTACCAGGTTTTGAGTGGAGGATGATAAGAGGATGTACCTTTTCGAAAAAGATTGAGCAATGTGACTAGCATGACATCAATTTTCTTGTACAATGAATAACAACCAAAACTTGATTTCCCCTTAATATGTTCGAACATTTTAATGTGGGTTAAGGTTCCCCCACAATCTGATTTTGAATAAAAGCATTAGAAATTTTATTCATTGGATTTAACTGAAGGAATATAGCTTTTTCTTGATGGATTCAAAATTGGTATACTGCAACGACTAATTTTTCTACAATTTGTCGAGTTTGTAAATTTTGTCGACGATAAAAGTAACTTCGTGGAAAATCACATATATTATTGTAATTTTTCACAACGAGTTAACGTTTTATTTGTTCATGCTATCGGAAAAGTTTACGTCTATATGTCATCGACGTTTTTCAAGTCGGGGCTAATTTTGTAGTTTAATGCATGTTGTTGATCAAATTATCGAGATCTGATTATCCTTGATAAGACATGAGTGCTTTATTATCAGAATACCCCTAACTTTATGAATCTACCCTAAAAGATAACGATGTAGTTTTCTAAATGACACAATATATTAAATTTATTTCCATTGAGTTCTAGAATCTAGACTAAACAAATCCCTATTTATTTATAATGGCAAAACCGTAGGTAAATCTAAAGCACCATTCAGTTATTGTTAAACATGGTTCTATACGTATGAATCGAAACTTTCTTTCAATAATATTTTAAACCTGGAACAGAGATGCCAATTGGGTTCATATAACTCTAACTCTTCAATAAAGTTACAAGACAATTTTTAGAAAAATAGCACATGTGACTCATCGTATCAGGAATCGATGCGATTTTTTTCATCCGTTTTTACAGAGGTCATAGACGAGTTCGCTAATCGAGTTCAACTTCAAAATCATTAACTCTAATAGCATATATAAACAATCAGTATGCACTTTCGACTAATTAATAATTATTTACTACGAATGCTTTTTTTATGAATTACATGAATCAACTTGGCGATAGGTATTAATAGTCCGACAAGCCTAGCCCAACTTAGAAAAACTGGCGCTCCTAAGTTAGCACATAATTTTCCAATGTCTGCATCTGAATCAATTCCAGGAGATGAGTTGAAGCCAGAATACACACCAGCTGTGATAATATCAAATACCACTGCAACAAAGGATATCGGTTATTCAATTATTGAATAACTATTATAGCTACTTATTATATATCAAATTTTCAAGGTTATTTTTTACTGACTGTTTCGGTGAAGTAGGGGAAGGTGGGGTACGTTGGGACATGGGGCACAGTGGAAAATCAGCTATCACACTGATACTATATCCGCAATCCTGTCCGCGGCTCGATGTTCCAATCCGCCCTTCGGTGAGTTACAACGTCCCCGCGAACGGACAACGGACGGGTAGAGCGGCGCAAGCTATGGGGTGAAATTGGTTTTGGGAGGTTGAAAAAAAAAATTTCACCGTTCCAGTTTTTTCTTTTTTTTAGTTTAGCCTTTCCAACGAGACAAACCATCGTCTGATATTCTTTAGCGTCAGTCCACTGTAAAATATTCCTAACGTTAGCGATTGGCTGTGCCTTCCGAATTTTGCCGTGGGATGGTCTGAAAATATTTGTTTCCCATGGGAAACAATGGATCGGGGTTCAGTGGGACAGGCTCTACAGGGCACAATTCGACAGTGTTTGATACAATAAGTGCTTAGAGACTTGGAGATGCGTTATATTTTGTGTAATATAATGGTTTCTTTCGACCCATGGCCCAATATGGAATATATTCGAGAATCAATAATATTTCCAGATTTAGATTCGAGGAAGGAAATAATCAAATTTTTTTGCAAAATGTTTTGTCAAAATATCTGAACTATTTCAGTTGAACATTGATTTTAAAAATATTAAATCTTCAAATTCGAAGACGATTATGCTGATTAATTGATTATTTTTAAGGGCATACTTCGTTGAATTTTGACAGACTGACCCATTGTGCCCCAGGGTCTGTCCGATTGTGCCCCACAAGTGGGGTACAGTGGGACACTTGACAGACGTTTTTCAAAGCATTTTGGTAGTAAGATGTGTGTCGCAAGGGAATTTCTTTGTTGCTGAATAAAAACTACATTTACCCCTCTATACATTAGTCCCGCAAACTTAAGAGAATATGCAGAATTAACGGCTCAAAATATGCAAAAGAAAAAAAGTGTCCCAACCTTCCCCACTTTCCCCTACCAGATCATTTTGGACGATAATATAAAAATAAAAACATATTTAGTGTACTTACCACAAACAGTTTCGAGTAATACTAAAATGAAAATTCCTCTTTCAAAAATTTTGCAGACTTCGAGAATAAGTCCAGTAAACGAACACAATCTTAATAACATTGTCAGCGTTAAAAATGCGATCGCAACTTTTTCATCGACTCCTTTTTCTGATAAAAAAATATATTACCATTTCAAATTGGTTACATGGCGTTTCTGATAAAAATTATACACACAAGTGATAATAAATTAACATAGAATTACCGAAGATTAACACAAAAGGTTTAATAAAAACCGTGGGTATTTTAATAATGTAGACAACTTTCTGATACTCCAATAATTATTGGTAGTATTGAATATTAGCATATCAAAAACGATTTCAGGAGCCATTGAGTGGATCTTCGAAAATCAATGCACAGCTTGATTACCAGTTAACAATTGAAGGAATTTCAATCATTGGTTTAAACTTTTTAATCTTATTGGACTGATCACCCAACTTGTTTTGTTTACCACCTTTGCGGTGTCAGTTGTCCCGATACGTCTTCAGTTTGGTTTGGTTCAGTGCAGAGATTTTGCTTCTAGTACAGTCTAGATCAGTGATGACCAATATTCGGACGAAATATTAAATAATTTAATTTAATCGTTTTGTTTGACATGTTGAGTTGTAACTTACCATGAGTAACACACGTAACGTTTGTATCTTGAGAGTCAATGCAAGCCACGCAATTCGTTCCATTGTTCAATGTGCAGTTGATCTCATTCCCAATTCCGCATTTATGAAACAATCCCTGATGGGCAACGTTGTTCTTTGCCACTAGCCACTTGGAAGATGCCATAGAATATATTGTCGTCGAGAGACTAAATCCAGTGTATATAAGTAAAAGGACATGCAGTATATACAGCTTCTTCATATTAAATCTTCGCAATAAACTATTATTTTCATAATATGTTGGAATATTGCCTGAAAATATATTGAGAATTTATATATATATATATATATATACATTTCGCCACCTACTTCAAATGAAGAAGCCGTACTCGAATCCTAAACGCATATAGATATTGTGATGCAGCAGACAAACAGTTCATATCGTTGCGATAAAGAAGGGACAAAGAAGGGAATGCTATACTATACATACAGTTAACTTCGGCAATTGTTTCAACTAATGTACTGTTAAAAGGCCGTTAAACAAAAGTTTCGTAAATCCCCCCGTACTTGACTTGACATTGATATCAGTTTCGCGTCTACCGTCTTTGAATTCATATGTGAGGCCTAATGTTAAACCTAACGTTTACATACCCGTCCAGTCCTAGTATGTTTAGCCTACCTCATAATGATTAAAGCAAAACACACATTTTCGTTAATTGTTCTAGATTCATTTATATTTGGATGGTCGAATACAGCTATCTACTTTATGTATATTTATTTTAAAACTGAGGTTACTGAAATATATGTATATATATAAATTATATATATATAGTTTTGATAGTATTTATCAATTAAGTACAGAAAAATTGACGCCGCCGGAATTTTTAACAGTACAACGTGAATAAATAACACAGATGTCATCGCACTCGGTTAAATATCTTGCGTAGGCTAACACTTGAAATTATTTACTTTTGATTTGTGCCACAGTTCATATACCTACATATTATTCGACTTAGTTTTGAAGTTCCGTCACACAATTGAAATCTGTACACCAATGTATGAGGGATAAAAAACATGAACCGTGATATTAGGAACAAGTCACTGCATACAGACTGTAGAGTAAGGAAGGTGGGCATCTATACGCTTTGAACATGTTTTCCATTTTCAATACGCGGACGCGCTTGATTTAATTACCACTGGAATAAGGGTATTTTGGAATTTTAACCCGTAATCTCCAAAATCATCATGCTATTATACTGCAAGCCAGTATGCGATGTTAATTTTGACGCACTGTGAACAGACCTAAAAGTATATATATATATCTGTATTCGACTTAGTTAGTTAGAATTGTTACGATAATTAGCGACTCAACGCAATCATTCACTTGGGCTCTCAAGGAACGAGCACACTTGACGTTCATGGTTCTATACTTCGAAGCTCCTGGCTAAAGTTTGAAAATGTTCAAGAAGTAGTCAGTGCTGCGTACTGTTTTTACTCTTTCTTTATTTAAAAATTAATCTCTCCTCGATACTTCCATGAGTATTATAATTTTCTGTTCCCATTTAATCGCGTTTGTTTGCATATAATGCGACAAGGGCGCGTCGAAACTAACTATCTTTCTGTATATATGTACCATAAACAGCAAAATAAATTTATTGAGAGCAATGTTGTCGCATTGATGGTACCGCAATCATACTAAAGAAACCATTATACCCACACAAAACCTCAATTATAGTGATTTACAATTTAGAAAAGGCTCTTTGTACGCTTTCGCGACTGCAATGAAGCGTTGTTTAGCTATCTGAATTGCAATAACGACCTATCATTCGTCACATTCTTTGCAATGTACCTCCCACGCACAGCACCGATTTGGGAAACGAGAATCTCAAACAATCTGATCATTTCCATATGACATAATCATTTTATAAGTAAATAAAGTGACCCCATAAATAGTCTCCTGGTCAGTGATTGGACTCAGCCGTCTATATTATATAATTAGCATTACGCGTTGCTATGGGCCATTTCGTTTTAATATATGAAAGAGAATCAACGCATTGGTCTGTTTACTCAACGTCAAAAATGAATTTATTCGATTTTTATTTGTTTAGTTGCATTGAAGTGTTTTGTTTTCGGATAAATAAAAACATTACTTTAGGATATTATCAAACTATGATGCCTTGTGCTATCGAGTGACATCGCTAAAATGATCCTACATTGATCTCTTTGAAGGGAATCGGACGATGGCGCTGTGTACTTTATGTACGTTGCGTAACAACAGTACAGAAGTAAGCATGCACATCAGTCTTTCAAATTATGATCCGCTCAAATCAAATTCACGCACAGTTATAAGTAAAGATATAAGAATAAGTAAAGATATTGACACTTGACAAAGTTATCAGTGACCATAAAACTGCCAAAAAATACAAAAAAAAGAACAGAATTTAATAAGGGGATGCAATGTGCGTTGTTAATGTCCGATGATCAATCTTTCAGTAAAACAGCTTGTAGTGATGTAGTTGTAGTGAACAGCATGTATAATAAACACATCAACATTTCAATTTTTCAATATTTAATATTTTCCTGAATTGTTTACGCAGCCCCACAACAAACACGGGGTACATGTTTAAATGTGACAGCAACACTCTACGCAATGACGTATCAATAATTTCTAAATGTACACAAGTACACACACAAAGGCGAACGATATATATTAACATTATATATTCATTCCAGATCAAACCGAGTCAGGATTTCTCCCGGCTTTAAAACATAGCGATAGATTGATAAGTCATATCGTTACCACCTCGATCTTTACCCAAAGCCACAATGTCATATAATACGCAATTCAAAACATATGCATTAAAGTTATTACATCACAGGGTACATATACCGTTATGATTTATATACCAACATTTATATATTTATAGAAGTCGATGCGAGACTTTTGCTGAAAACTTCTTGATTTAATATTAGTTTGATCGTTAGAGTTTTATTTTTTTGTATATTCGTGAGAAATGTTGAAATGTCCATGGCGTATATTTGTACCACAGGCCGCATTTAAAGAATAATATCAATTCAAATATTTTGAACAATAAAATTTACTTCATCTTCTCGTTTTTTTCGTCACAAAGTATAACATCTGGAGCCTTCTATAATTGTTCATTCTCGTGTAACCATCACTGTATTGGAATAAAGCTCTACATTCTATCCCACTCGTTCTAGAACAGCGCCATCTTCAATCCTATCATTGTAATGAGGTTGAACTTTCCCTTCTACTTAAATGTTCAAGAAGAACGCTCATCTCCGATCAGATCTTATGTTCAATAGAGTTGATTGCTCAAATCGTTTCTCTCTTCTATGCTGTTAATTAACTTGTACCCCAATTTGGTCATGATACTGCCACATTTCTTTTGTATTTGCGCAATTATGTCCATGTTGAGCGTTTTCCTCCATTTGACGACAACGTGAGATGAGTCTCTAACCGTGCCGTAAGGATTTCTTTGTTCTTTTTTCATTTGTGATAGCCTTTTCTTCGAATTCATCAATTCCTGTAGAAATTATTATTAGGCTTTTATTGAATTCTCGCATAATAAAATACAATCTACTGATATGTTGGTGCTTTGGATAGTTAATCGTATGTCAATTTGATAAAGCCATCAGAACCATCGAAAATAATTTCGAGATTTTAGACTTGAGTTCAGACTTAATTTAAACTAGCTAACGTTGTTGTGCGGAAAGTTTCAAATACGTATCATCCAATTAGGAAAAAGTATCATTTACTAACTTAATTCAAGAATCAAGTTAATATGAGTGATAAGGATGGTTATCTAGGAGGTTAGATGGTAACGCGACGGCCTAGCGGATAATTTGTTATATTTTCCTTCCAAACAAATAGCTGCACAAACCTCAAGAGTTAGTTCTCTATTATCTAGTTCAGCATGTAACTCTTCAATTTTTTCGGACGGACTTGCTGTTGACATTTGTATCCATTCTCTTACTTCTGATGGTAAATCCATGTTAAGGAATCTGGATATAAGTTTGTTATTTCATTTGGAAATTTATTTAAAGTAATGTCAGAAACATACTCAAATTCACAGTTAGGGACGTTTACGAAAGGTTCCGTCAGTTACTGAAACATGACCAGAAGAATATACAACTTAACATATATGCGATGCGGCTACCACTTTCTACATTTATAAGATTTGATACTGTTATATTTTTGATCAACGAGTTCCCATTTTATTTACACGTAATAAACGTTTACTATACATAGGAAATAACAGGATTACTTTGCTATGAATCATATTGAGATGAAAATTCAGCAACCACTTGCTCTACTGCTCCGATTATTATGAGTTAGGGTAGATTTAATTTGTGGAACAAATGTTAAATAGGAATGACCTGTTATGTTTTGGGCTAACTTAGGCAGAATACTGAAGTATTTATTTGAAGTGAGTTACATACAATTGGAGAAGTGGGACAAGTGCGCGACAGAACATTTGTAAGACAACCATATTTAGTGAGATGACTTTACGGATATATTCAGTGAGCAATGTGCTTACTTGTACATTTTTTCTGCTCCTTTAACGGGATCAGTTGCGATGTCTTCATATCGTATCCGCAAATATCTTCCTTCAGATATCAAGCTGGTTGAAAATTTATCTGCAATATTTTTTATAATCTTGTAAGTCAGTACCTCGGAACTGATCAGCTAAACTCATCGTCATACCACATAAATCGGTTAGACTTCTCAATAGGAAAATCTATATATGAATTATTGTTTACATATTTTATATGTGAAAAACATGCGGCAAAGATTACCACGACCATTTTGACACTCTTCCTCCTCCATAATTTTTAGAAAATTATTGTGTGAACATACTGTTTTCTATTGTATATATAGCAAAAATGCGCCTTTGGAATATAAGAATTTGCATTTTACTTCGGCAGTTTTGAAATCATCTATATATGGGCAAGACAAATTATCGCGATATCAAAATAGAAGCAACAAAGTTTATATTGTATTACCTCCTCGTTCTCGTTCCACAAATTCAAAATTATTCCTGAACCTTCCACATATTCTGTTGAGACGTTTATCCACTCCCGGCTTTCTCAGCTCAAGATTAAGTGCTGAGTTAATAATTCCTCTTGGATCTCTTACGAGCTCTATCACGTAAACCTCATTGCCATAATTGGTGAGTGTTTCTACAATGCCCTCTAATGACTGCACGGTACAAATGCGCAAAACTTTGAGTGCTACAATATCTGCGGAATGGCATAATGAAGACCATATTGTCAGATTCAATGGTAAGCCACATGGACCACGTTTAATTGTTTCAACAATTGGCGGTTTCGCTTGGCTAATAGAATGATTCGAAAAATTCTGACAAAGCTTGGAATAACGTTGGAGTATAGTTTTGTGCCTCGGGGGTGAACATACTTGTGCTGACAAACATTCATGATGTGACTGAATGTGATTTGTAGCATAAGCATATCTGTAGCTTGATTTCAAAGTACTGAAATCACATTGTGAGATTTTCTGGAGATATTCCAGTCGCTCGCTGTTCAGTTGGTCGCAATCTGTACCGTATGGCAACAGAGGTTCGTACAAGTAAAACCCTCGATTGAATCGAGCAAAGAATTCTCCAACGAAACTGGAACCAGATCTTTGGTTGCTTAGCAAAATCACAACTTTGCCTTTTCTTATGTACATCTTTTCATTTTCAACGTCGTTTTTATAAGATATTTGTGAATGGTCTGTCAGTTTTTTCACCCAACCATATAATATAGTGACGGACGTAAAGCAAAAGAGCACTACTAGCTTTGTAGTTTTAGCTTTTCCGAGCATATCTACGAAAACAAAAAGTATTTTGTCTTGTCTCTGATTTACAAACCTGATTTTAAATCGTCCACTATCCGAATAAAAATAAATATTACTGAAAACCAAGTGAAATTCTTCATTTATTCATAATATAAAAATGGCCTATGTGATAAACAGTCAAAACATACCTTATCCTGTCAAGCTGAGGATATAATATATATATGTATATAACTAGGATAAACTGCTTTTCTGCCTAATAATCTCAAGACCGTATACTCGTGATGAAAAATTTCTAAACACAAATGTTGAATTACCGTATCTGTAAATTCGATTTCTGGATGATTATATCTATATAGCCCTCTGGGTATTTATATAGAAGGTTTCATATGATATAGTTTTACTTTTACCCTCAGGGCAGCGGACAGTAGAATCGTGTATTATTTGTTTTCCCATGCTTCTGTTACTCAATGATGACATCAAAATCACATAGCTGACTTAACATGAGCGGATTGGTAGCAGAGAATAACAAATTAGAAAACCAAACATAAAAGACCATATAGAAGCCAAAGGTTTTGTTTCAGGTAGTATGACAGACGGCCATACCGTGATCCGAAATCTGAAGCCATGGATATAGATTATTTTTGTATGTATTTGGCTATCACTCGGCTATGCTGCTCTTCTAGCTGTTCTTAAATTATTGAACAAATACCACACAATATTTTGCTAAAAATCGTACACGCTTTAATCCAGTGCATCATATTCATAAACTATATGCATTTGTGGTTGAACTAAGTTGGATTAAGATGTTTATCATTCATACGAGTGTTCCTTCAGTGCAACAAAACTAGTGATACTTGATAAGCGACCACCTCGTTGCTGAAAAACCATAACTTGGTACATTTTAGCTGTGTCTACTTATCATGAATTGAAAACGGCCCTTGCTTGCTCTCTGTCTAATCCATCAGATCACTGTTATCACCTTAGCACTTAAAATGAAGTCTTGCTACCACATTCCACAACGTAAGGAGTAAGAAGAGCTAGGCGATTTGAAATATTCATACGACTGTTACGAACAAACATTTTACTGAACCTGTTTGTAAATTAACTGTGTAAATTTAAAACAGCAAAATTAACTTTGAAATATTATTCACCATGCAACGTTATTGCTATTTTGTGCTTATCAGTTTACATCTCTAGTAATTTAGCTTACACATATGGAATATTACAGGACTTTCGTGCAAAGTAAATTATAGTAAATGCTTGAATGTATTAGCAAATGTAAAAAAATATTGACCTCGTCCATAATTATTAATAACTGAATAATTGTTGTACACAGAAACCGTCTTGTTATCAAGCAGAATTTATTTCACTTTTGTGACTGTTTATATTTTGCTTCTATCGCTCAAAGACATTCTAAAATTCCCCATTGCTGATCTGTTATAATATCAATACGGTTATATATAAAACTGTTTGTTCGATAGTCTTTCCAAATCGCTGTTTCAACAATTCTAATTTTTTTTAAACTATATTACTCCTTGTTTAATATTACAATGTTAGCCTCAGTACACTGTCAATCGATCGGCCTACGTTCCGCTTATCAATTATGCTGAAATTTGTGAAGTGAAAAAAAAAACTAACTTCTCACCTGCGAAAGTTCATTCACATTGCGATTAACGTTGTCAACTCAATTCCGTTTGCTGGCAGAATTTTAAGATTTTTTTTATCACTATTTAGTTTTTTCCCGACTAAGTTTTTTCTTTGTGTACTATGGTGGTTACTGGTGTCGTTTCTTCATCGTACCAATGGCGGCTGACACTAAACTCTATATCTTGTCATTTGGCTTAGGAGGTAAGTCATATTGACAATAATACTAATAGTGGAGAACAACTCGCAGGATATTTGCGAATGATCATCAATATACTCTATTGTATTGTCCTTGTTGTTTCATATTGTTAGTAAATTCAATCTTCCTGTACTGAATTACTGTTATAGAAGTCAGCGTGGCACAATGAACAATTATCAGTTTATTGAAACAGTGGATAATTATAAAACTTCTAAGATCCATTTTGAAAATGGTAAAGCATCACAAAAATTTGCTCAATGTGGCGTAGAGCTTTGTGAACTGATTCGTGAAAACTCTAAACGACATTTGCGCTTTAACAACTGCGTCATTTTCGTGAATATTGAAGCAAAAAAAATCAGGTATGAAAATTTGATAAACTTCTGACGTGTTACATTTCAATGATTAACACAGATGCATTGTTGCAGTAATGCTATACTTAATTGACTACAAAAAATTAAATTATAATAGTTAAATTTGAAAATCATATATTGAAAATTAAATTGTCGTACTACGTTTACTGAAGCAAACTTTAGCCATTTTAGTTTAACTAGTTTTTCCGTATTTATATTTAATTTATTTACTATTATCTTAAAGTTCGTTCATGACTTTAAATCACTTTAAAATTTAAATGGTAGCAAATTACGTATAGTTCATTTTATCTTTAGTCTTTCAAAAGTTACAGTACAGTGCCAACATTGGCATAAAACCAATCTGTTAACGTTGCTTCGTTATCACTCCTCCATTTAATATTTATTTTTGTCTTTTCGATTGCTTGATCAACTGCTCTTACTGCTGTTCCTAGATCCGGTGTATTACTTTTGAAATCCTCCAGCTTTAAAGTAAAATCAAGGTTTTAGAGAAAATTATTAATTATGCATGGTGTTTTGGTGTTAGTACGTCATTTGAGGAACGAAGCGTCAACTTTATTTGCATTTAAAATAATTTGCACGTGTTTAGGCGAAGACGACAAATGAGAAAAGTCACCCTCGTGATTTCGCCTCAGGGCCGCAGGGCCAGATTTTGCCTATTTATCTAACAAATCTAGCAAATTATTTGAATGGATTAACTACGAATTAAACGAGCACGAGAAAATAAATAAATTTGAAGCAATAAAATGTATTTTAATAATACAACACAAAGAAATTTGATAATGAATTCAATAATCAATCCTGCGTCCGCTATTAAAAGTATTTAAGGTACTATACTGAATTCGGTTGCGGAGCAATGTCGGTTATTTTTTTAGGTATTTTGGAGAATCTAAAATAGCGTAAATCATTAACTTCCCATATATTCTAAGATCTAAAATAACTCGTGATATCAATTTTAATCGAAAAATTGAGTGTATTTTCTCACCTTTTCCAAGTCATATTCCGTAGAGAATCTTTTTGTTATGGTGGCTATTAAACCGTCGAATGACCATCCTGAACCAAATCTAAAATGGAAGGCTCGATAAATAGAGATACAAAGAGGTAGACAGAGGGAAATTGCCCTGCTGAAACTACTACGTGACTTGAAGAATATATGAAACACTTTTCAAATGTTATTTTAAAACTTACAAGTTCACCAACACTTCCCAATTATCAACCATAAAAGCCCAAGCAATGTCACGACCATATTCTTCTCCTCCGATGTACTGCATAGTTCTGATTGCATCTTGCTTTCTAACTTTTTTTGGGTCCAACGTGTATTCCAAGTACCGCGTCAATATCCATGGATCTTTACTGCAGGCGAGTCCATACCTATATTTGAATAGATACATGGTAATATTTTATCCAATGGAGTCACTAATTTATTTTGAACATATTTATTTTCTAAATCGTTTAAGTAAGTAAGTGTAATGGTTTAAATTTGTGCTGTAATTATATATCGTGAGAGAAAGTAAACAAGTCTGTAAAAATACTGATGCTATTAAATACAGTGAAGGTTATCTGTGATGGGATAAGATTAAACGCATCACACTAGATAGATATTCTCTGCGTTTGAAACTGCTTACTTTAAATAAAAAAGAGAACTTTTCACATGATAGATAAAAATATAGTAACCTTAAACTAGTTTGAAAAGTAGGATTATCAGTAGCAGCGCCATGCCTTTCCCATGCAAAATTCCATTCTTCTATGCCGGAGTTACGGATAGCTGCACAGAGAATATCGGATCGGAAGCTGGAATCAATTATTCTGAAACATAGAAAAGTGGAATGAGATACATCTGATATAATATAGTGTCAAATGAGAACGCGTCATTCCCACTGCTTTTAAAATAACATAACGTGGTTCTTGATCTTGAAATAATAGATGAGATTGAATTCATAGTTACTAGTCACTCATAATGTGCGATTCCATTGGTAAACAATCTAGTTAAGTACCCTGGGATTGACAAAGAACTGTAATTTCATAAATATATGGCATAACAGATTTGTTGTAAAGATTTCTGGCAATTATCGAATAATTAGGCATGCTTTTTCATCACTGCTTGACAATAAGCTTTCAATATAGTTTTCTTTTTGTTTTATACGTTTAAATTCAGTGAAGCATACATATTTATTATAATAAGATGATTTAAATTTAAAAATAGAATATTTCTTGTTACCCCCAGTTATCTGGATTCTTCATCCACAACTGAAATTTTTCGGTTGCATTCCCAATGCATTCATCATTACCGTAATAGCATGCAGCATCAATGCCAACCTGCCTTGTTAATCTTTGAACGAGAACGAAGAAAGTAAAAAATTGTAAACGATTGTACTGTAAAGTAAACCTTTACAGTACTATCGAAAGAAAGATACAGTTTTATCTATATGAGACGCCGTTTAAACCAATTTGTTCAGAAAATTTAAATTTATAGTCAATTACCAATTACTAATAAAACAAACCTCTCAATTACAGCATCATCAGACACATCTGTTTCTTCCCATCCATATTTATCATATAAAGAAGGGACCACAAGTTCCAATATATAGTTCTGTATTGTAATTTTAGTATAAAATACACGGTAATATAATATCATATGTGACTTTCTAGTCCAGTTCCAGTTTTATTCTAGTCAAAGCCGTTTCGTTATTAGCTAAACTGAATACACGTTTATTGCATTGCATACACACAGGTTTTCCTTTGATTGATGGATTTTATTAGTTAGAATTTCAATATAGTTACATGTATAATTATTGAATTATAATAATATTATTAATATTAGAATTATATATCTGTCTATGTAATATTATTTAGGTAAATTGAATGGATTGTGATATTCAGACTCACGCAGAATGTTCCAAACACCGGTGTTCTTCCTAGCATATATTCAAAATATCTAATATTTCTCATAAATGTAGTCCATGCAATGTAACTATCGTCTCTGTACAGATATCTTGACATTTCAAGAGGAACCGTAATTCCAAGTCTTTCCCCACTTGATATTCAACAAAATACAGTGATAAATAAACTGTCCAGGTATGCTCAATTATCGGTTTCATTATTCTATTATTATTTTATTTTCCCATATTCAATATACCTATATTTTTTCTTGCAATTTTGTACTTTGGATACTTAGTTACCCTAAATATACTCCTTATCCTAAGTCCGGTAATGAGTTTTACTAAAGAAAAGCGAAACTTCTAAACCAGGACAGGCACGATATGTAGTAGGAATACAATTCTACCTATCTTAAGGAAGCTTTACGCATAAATAAGATAATTCGAAATATTAAACTAACGAGTGAAACGATATAAAGAAGATAACCAGAAAAGACTTTTACCTTGCAAGACTGAAGGCATCATCCAACAACTGAGCTCTGTTTTCCTCTGGTATATCCTTGAATAGTGGTAAAAAGATATGTTACTTTACATGTATGAAGTTATCATTAATTTTTTTTTTTTTTGAGTTTTTCAAAATTATTGTGTCTTTTTTGTCCCACTTGGGTTCCTCACTTATTCCACCTGTCTCGCACTTTTCATCATTGTTCCACATTTGCCCCACTTGCCCTAATCTTGTCTCACTTGTATCAAACTTCTCTCGTTTGTCTGAATCACACTGCATATATTTACTCCAACTTTCTGATCAAAGTATTGCATCTATCCTAGCCCAAAGCATACTGTGAATTCAATTTTATATTCTTATTCAAACCATTTGCCTCTCAATATATATCTACCCTGGCTCAGGACAGTGGAAAAGCGGGACAAGTGGGATAGGTGGGGCATTTCTAAGGTTGGTGTAGAACAAATTGGACACGTCATTTTGCGATATCGAATTTGTTTTATATGGATTGTTATGAATAGTTTGGATACCATTTGAAATTAAATGGTACGTCACTCACTTTAAAAATGAACAAAGTAATCAAGGCCTTGATATTTAACGTCTAACAGAGTTGCGTTATCAAGAACATATCTAATTTCAAAGCTTTCTTTACCAATGTCATATAATAAAATCATCTCAAGAGTGCTATTTTATTCGCGATTATAATTTCCGTGTAAAGCATATTTACATTATATTGCGTTTTCAACACTAATGAACAAGATGCAAACTTCAATCGAGTAAGCCTATGATGAAGTCTTAAATATTACTGCATATACCATACCTGATAATCAGCAGAATCCAGTTTTGCAGCTAGTTTACCCCAGGTGTCTCCATCGTAGTTCACTCTGTAATAACCTTCACCTCTAATGTTTCCAAGTATGAAATCCGAATCACTGATTGTCACTGAAATATTACCAAGTATAATTTTGCATTCATTACAATATCGAATATATATTCGTTTTTTTTTCGTTTATTCACGGCACCATTTTTTTTAAATAAATAATTTCAAATTAAATTCCGGTAGCTAATTAGTTAAGTATACCGTACAAACTCTCTCCACCGCGTTACAATACAATAATCTAGAACAAATTATTTCATTCAACAAATGGTTCACGCTATAAATTCGTCAACACAGTTCCAATTGTTGGATAAAAAACTAATAACAAGTAGTATAGTCTAGTTTATACAAATTGTAAACTATTAGTATGCATGGATTTACAAAACTAGTTCTTAAAATAAATTAAACTAGTTTATTGTGGTGAATCACCATTTAAATACATGGATGTAAAAAATATTTATCAGGAATTAATATTCACAAACTTGTTGTCCTTTGTATAAAGTCTTCGAAAAAGGGGGATTGAAAACTAAATTATCAATCAGTATTCATTCTTACAATTAAACTCAGGTCATGATATTTATCATACCAGTATTATCAAGTCCAATCCAAACAGTTTCCACAATTCCAGCGGCAAGATTGCTTCCTTTTATGTAAGTGAACGGCACATACCATTTGTAGCTGAAATAATAACAAAGCACAATGGAACTAGTATCTATTAGAAGAATTGAATATTTAGATTCATGAGAACATATTATCATGTATGAAGATGTCGCTCTATTTGTTGATTCAAAATAAATGTTAAACTTTCTCAGTCCAAATTTCTACATCAACTCCGAACATTTTAATTGTGGACAAGTGGAATCTGTTCTCGAACATAGATGATAATGGAAACTTATAACATGTAAACCTAAACAATAACAGCAATGTTGTCAAGTACATACTTATATTTTTTACTCCCTTCAGTGTGAACTGGTTCCGCATCACGGTCAATTAAGAAATATTCTTGTGACAGCGTGAACATGTTGGATAACGGATCAAGATCTTGTATGTTGATAACTGGATATCCCATTTGAAGAGTCCACGTTTCCAAAATAGTCTCTAGATCAGTTGGCAATCCCGTGGACAGGCCATCAGTATGCTACAAAATTAACGCGATAGAAAATTTCTCTTTGGTAACTTGTAGTCATATCTTTTAATAATAATCGATTATTCAGTAATAATAAAATAGCTTTCAAGAGAGACTTGGCTTGATACTGTTATGCCGGATGGCGCCTTGTTCCGGTGCTCGAATATATTAAGCATTACCTTTTTTAGTAAAACTATTCCATGGTAATTAAGGCGCTTCTATTTTTAGAATCTAAGTATAGAAAATTTTAACATACCTTTGCCCAGTAGGAAAACAAATCACCATGAGTTGCAACATCATATGACAAAGCTTTCAGATATTCCTGCAAATATTTAGAATAGCGTTAACTATCGCAGCTTATTACGTTGGTAAACTTTAATTAGGAATGTTACAACCTGTGTGTAAATATGTTGCGTCAACTTTATAAATGATACTTAAACGAATGTAAATCAATAATGAAGCAAAATAAACTTACGCTTAAGCCATTAACAAAATTTTCTTCTCCCAGGAAACTGTTGATCATACGAATAATACTTGCTCCCTAAATAATTTATAAATATTTGGTTATTGGTGTTGCAATCAGTTAGTATTAAGATAAAGCATGGCATTAGTCATTTTCAGATGTCATTTTCAGATGTTCAGAAATTGTGTAAAAATCGTACCAGAAACTTGGATGTATTGAATAGGTAGTCGAATAGTTGCAAAATATTTTCTGTGCTTATTTTGTATAAATGGTATTGAAATGTAATATATAAGAAAGTCAAATCCAATGATTTTGGGTTTCTCTTGAAATGCGACTCTGAAACATTATCTATATTCAATGAATGTTTGACAGGTGATGTGACTCAGAAAAAAAAACAAGTGAAATTAATAATATTTACCTTGTTGTAACTTATCGTATCAAATTGAGCAGAAATTTGGGCAGGTGTGTTTACTTCAGTTACAAGAGGACGAGATGTCGTGAGTTCATCTACACTTAAAGCTCCTTGTAAATCATCAGTTATGAATCGTTCTTTCTGTAACAGAATATTGTCCACGTAGAAATGTTATTTGGAAATGGGAATAGCGAGACATCCAAAAGAAGACGATAAAATTCGGACTAGGTTGAATAAATTAAATTCTAATGAAACAACTGGGTGAGTTGCTACACAAAGCAACTTTCATATCAAAATATGACACAATAATGTAACTCATGTGAAATATTTGAACATGATTTAATTATTATTGTTCACTAATGGTGATATCTTTGTTATAACAGACAACAATGGTATTGAGATAATATTAAATATATTAATGTTGCAAGGTTTTGGGAATGCTTGGTTTTGAATATCGTAACAAGATATTGTTATACTGCTATATTTGTGCCCAAAGGAATCAGATAGATATATGTTACCGATTTCCAGGTAGGTTGCACGGCTGCTTCACCAAGATAAGAAAGATAAGTTGCAAATCCTTCATTCAACCATAGGTCATCCCACCAAGCAGGACTGACAAGATTCCCAAACCACTGAAATAATTGTATTATTGAATGTTAATTTTCAAGGCAATGATGTTTTTTTTTTCGTTTTAATGCTTTTTGCTAAAAGTACTGTAGTTTTTAACAAAATATACAGTTGCTGGTTTGCAAGTTTTTTTTCAAGAAAGATTAAATTTAAAGAAGTAAACTAAATTAATCTCACTAAAGAAAATTTTTATAAATAATAGTGTACCGATCAATGCTTGCACTTCTAAGATGTGCAAATGAAATACGTCTCACAGAAGGAAACTCAGACTAAATTTTCTTTTCAATAACACATTTCTAGTAGATTCATACTTCTCATTCCTACAGTCTTATTCACTTTCATATACCTGAACACTTTATTCTTTCTAAATTTATATTTTTGTTTGTGCAATACCGCCTATTCAATTTTAAAATCGTGCCTTTCATGAAAAAATAAATGAGCTAACCATGTGCGCAAGTTCATGAGCAACGATGCTTGTTACAGTAATTTTGTAGTTGAATGCAGTTGTGCTTGAATTGTAAAGAATATAAGGCTCTCGATAGATGATCAAACCCCAGTTTTCCATTGCACCAGCACCGAAATCCGGAACACCAACTTGATCTAAGTTAAGAAAAAGTTGTATCAGTATGCACGTTTCATGAAATTCACTCATTGAGATTCTTAAATATATCATGAATAGAAGCACCGGAGTCTGAATTGATTTCAAAAGATAAAAAAGAAAAAATTATTGAAATTACCTAAACATCTTAAATTTTCCGTTTATTTTAAAATCGAAAAGAGCGGAGTGAGTGAACTTTGAGTGTCTGGCACCTGAAAATTCTAATTAACGAAAGCGCTTTGTAGAAAGAAAGGTACGCCGTATAAAATTTAATATATTACCCGATTTGGGAAGGGGATATGGTATCTTGAAATAGTCAGCAAAATAATCCAGAATGGCAGGGGTTACAAGAGCCGCATATGCTGCGTCGCCATTTGCCATCAACTCTTTACGCCCGTATATATTTGTCTGTTAAAAAATGTTAATTCAATTGAAGATCATATCTGGTTTAATTATTTTGATTGATTGTGAGCATGCTGAGTTTCTTAGTCATTATTCATTTCGTTAACATAACAGCTGGTCAACATAACCATGAAATTCCATACCTATTCTCCATTCTTAATGTTAATGTGTCATTGATTGACTCCATCAATCGCGAACAAGTAAAATAACCTGATTTTCGACAAATGTTTTAGACCTATAATCGACCTTTTATCACTAATAGGAATAGTTTTCAAAAAATAAAAATAAATGAATGCCACAGAATTAATAAACTTATCTTACACTTTGCAGTGCAAAATATTTTGACACACATATCACTGTTTTTGATAATGGTTTACTTCAGAAAACTGAGTCGTACCTGGACTGTACCGTCACTTGTTGTATTCTCAGCCACACCAAAATCACTGATTACCATGGCCAGTAAGTAAGTGCTCATTGGAACGCTTTCTTGAAAAACAGTGCCCGTCCATGATTCACCGTCAAACGTGTCCGTCTAAAGAAAAGAATATAATAGTAAGATAAGAGAGTAAGATAAGTAATTGCAAGAATGAACCTTTCCTTTCCTGTGTTGTGCTGCAATCCCAAACACGTTTATTACGATACAGCCTATTTTTAAAATGATAAAATACTAACCTTTTTGCCTGCTTCAGGCATATTGCAAAGAGGAAAGTGGGACGTCCCGTCTTTTACCCATAGTGTGATAGTAAAGTTAGCTTTGAGGGCTGGTTCATCAAAACATGGGAAAGTTTTCCGTGCATCTGTAGCTTGCATTTGAGTTGTGGCTATGACACTAAATCACAAAAGTTGTTGACAAACACCTCAATCAAATAATTTCAATTAATTTACCAAGGTTTTCATTTGAATAAACACTGTTACTGATAGTTCGTATATAGGTTAGGAAGCACGAATATGATAAAAATCCATAATGAAAATACAATGAGATACAATATACAAACTTACGTTACGCAGAAATGGCTACCATAAGGGTACAATATTTTCTTGTATTCGATGACATTGTAAATTAGGTTAAATATTATCCAACCTGATCACAAGATGCAACATAAAACGGTTATTGTATTGATTTTTAGTACAGTACTGGAACTGAATTAAACGTTGACTTGCAAAAAGCAACATATGTGTCAGATTTTAATTTAAACCATCAAATTTGCGTTTCAGTAATACGTTTATGCTTTCTTGAACATGAGCGGAGTATTATGTTGTTATAGGATAAAGTCGATCGCAATGAAAAATTTCTTCTACACGAACGGTACTGTTTGGGCTATCTTGATTGTTATCTTAGCAGCGACAACATTGCAAACTCACACATTGTCTCCAGCGCTGTTAACGTATTCGCTCCTGTAGAGTCCCGCTAAGTCATCAGTCAATTCTCCAACAAAATCTTTCACAGTTAATTTGTAATAACCATCTTTTATGCATGGATCTTCGGTTTCGACTACTAAATACTGATTAGGTACGTAAAACATCGAACTCTTTATGTTGACTATGGTGCCATCTTTCTCCAAGACTAGGTTCTCCGTCGCATAATCCAATTTGCTACGTAAGAAAAATATTTCTTGTTATATTCACCATAAAATTCAGTTTCAGAGTGATATTTCAAATAATTCGAAACTGTTTTCCAATCCAATATATATATCAATATTTTAAGTGGAAATTTTTGTTGAAACTAGGCAGCTGAACGATTGTCTATTACTATCGCCACACAAGTTGGATTGTTTGACTGTTCTTTGAAATTTGAGGTTTCAGATAATATTTGGAACAATAATGTACTTTGTTTAAAAAAAAAAATGATTTTAAATCACATACCACGATGCAGCACTTACAATACAAATAACTCACTTTGAATGAATAATAATATGATTTGTAGGTTCGACACATCTATACCACACTGAGCTTGTCCCATAAAACCAGTACTTTCCAGCCGTATCTGCTTCTAATACCGGTCTCAATTCTACCTCATAATCATCCGGTATTAGGTTGTTTGGCAAACGTATGTTTGTCCAAGGACCCTATTCAAACAAAATATGTTTAGTTGCGATTTCACCAGAACATCATCAAAACTTTTTGGCATTTAACTGTAATTGAAGTCATTATAGTCTGTTTATTTAATTGAACAATATGCATTCATTATAATATAATTTATTGAATATTAAGTTGGATTCTTCTTCAATATTTATATATAGAATAATACTAGAAATTGCATTTGCAAGGATCGATGCAACATCTATGATTTCATCACCAGGTACCAATACAATCGACAATAATTCCCACGTGAAAATAGGTCATTAAAGCAGTTTAACAATATTTTTATGTGAATTGAAACAATCTAAAACAACAGGAAATTTCAATCTAAAGTAAATCGTATGGATTGTGGTTTTATATTTTTTATCATTGAAGTTGTCTTTTATCCAATCTTTTATTAAACGGAGTAAATAAAATATTTAGGAGATAATCGGTTGGTTTTATAACTGTGATATAAAATGTTAATAATATTCCCAGTTATTTTAAGTGTGCTAACATTATGTAATCAAACTGCCATCAAAATGTGTTCGAAGTATTACGCAAAGGAATGCCATTCGATTTTGTTTCATTTAATCACAATCCAATCTTTACAAATCAATTTACAAATGCTTTCGAGGAAATGATTCCGTTACATTTCCCATGGGCTCAACAGGTCGACAAATTTTTTCGAACAATATAGTTATATCCCAATAATTTGAATTAAATCAAACACTTTTATACTCATAATTTTTACCGTACATCGTCGTGCAAAGCGTATATGTAATGTATAAAAATAAAACAGATGCTATACGTATCATGATGCAATAAATAAATCGCGAGACTTTTCAAGGGGGTACATAGTTAAAATTTTATTTTAATGGACAAACAGTTAAGATATGTTGAAACTCAAAAATTAATTATTCATTCATTGTTTGAAAAAGACTTATTCCTAAACATCTTTTCAAATTTTATTTTGCTATATATTAAAACGAATATTGTAATAAAAAATCCAATATGTAGTCAAACACTTTTATAGCTTTAATGTGAATTTATATAAAATAATTTTTTACAAAAATATTTTTGTTCGAGTCCTCACCTATTTTTAGGATTTTTGAAATTGTACCTATTTCACTGACCGTAGTATATTTGTAAATATCATTCACATACCGTTTCTGTAGCATCTGTTGTGGTCGTAGAAGTACCGGCAGTTGTTGAACTGCTTTGTGGCGCCTTAGTAGACTCTGGCAGCGGGGCGTACGGTTCACACTCAGGTCTACCAACAAGTCCAATAAGAAGACCTGGAAAATAATTAAAAATTTAATCTGAGCCACGCACTCAGAGAAAATTTAAAAAAAACGGCTGCGTTCAGACACAGTGTATAGATAGATATAAATATAGCAATTTCTACCGTTCCTCGTACATAAATTTTGCAAAACGGGTTGGCCTATCACAGGGGTCGGCAACCTACGGCCCGCAGAGTAATATAATCAGGCCCGCGACAATTCACTGAATTGTAGTAACAAAACACTTCTTTCGACGATTATATTTTTTACGTAACAGGATTTATTGTGAAACACGTGTAGACTAAATTATATTATAATGTAACAAGTATAAAACTCACAATTACTCGTTTAATGAGCCCATAACTTAAATATAATTAGACAAATGGCAACAAAACGCAGAAAAGGTTCAATGGCGCCGAAAATATTCAAATGGGATTTGTTGAGATGCAATGCAATGAGGAAATAAATCTATATTCTATTCGAAAGATGTATCACTGCTTGTTTTTATTATAAAAAGTATCATCTACTCGGTTATAAACTTTGTAAAAATATGTGCGGCCGGCCAATGACTTGCAATCATTAATTTTGGCCCGCGAGCGACAAAAGGTTGCCGACCCCTGGGCCCTAGCATAAATATATTATATATATATATGCAAATGCCTATTTCCAGATAATGAAGATTATGGATTCAATTTGTTTCAAATAGCTATACGGATTTATCTATTTGGTAACTAAATTTTTGGAAGCGTTACAATTCACGTCTGTTTAACATTATTCATTATTGTTCTCGATTGCCAAAAATATTAACAGAGCAGCCATGTTGGAAGGAGACACCTTTTTGAATAGGTATATTTAAAAAATAGAATAATTTTAACAAAATCACTTTTAACATCAAATTAAACTGACAACATCAGTTTTTGATTTAACCGTGGGTTGACTTGTGGTGTAGCAAACAATGTCAATTTGCAAAGGCAAATGGCTCAGTGTAAAAGTATTGATGCACTTGGATATCACTCGATAAGTTATTTTCCATAATTGCTTATGCAAGCGGTTTTAACCAAATATTGTAGTCTTCGGGATACTCATATTTTTTTCGCGGTTCCTGTAATCCTGCATTCAATTATTTGCGTTTATATTTTAAGCGAATTCGGCAAACACAAGGGAATGTAATCAGTGGTAACATCGTATATATGTGACCATATATTGTACAGCAAAATGTTTGCTGCACAATCCGCAACTAACAGGCCAACAATGTATTACGTCAATTTGAAAAAATTAATATAAAATTTTATTCGCTACAGGGCGTTCTTGACCCTAAAAAGTAGACGGATGACATAAATTACGTTATACTCACTTTATAAATAAAAGTAATTTGTTACGTACCTTCAACAACAAACAATGCAACGACAACAATTGAACCCAATATAATAGCAGTTTTTGATAGGAAAAATCCATTTTTGGGGATATTACCTGATCCCATGGTGTCATACGTTCCTCCCATGGTTATCAAGTTATTGGCTATATTTATAAAAACTGTACAAAAATAAATATTAATCGAGAATCTTGGTGTTCTGACCAGAAGTACGCAAAGGAGAAATAATTTATAGAGTCATTTTTATACAATATTCATGCAGTTTAGTACAATACCTCTGATGTCTAATCGCGCACATTAAAATATTATCACGCGATGCTGATAGAAAAGACTGTTTTTAAATTTTCAATATCGTATTGATAATTTATATCTTCATTCTCGCTAGAATGTTTTTCGGTCTGTGTTTAGGCTATAAACACTCACTAGCAATAATTGAAACAAATCGCTCCGAATATTATGACAAGTTTTTTCCAAAACATCTGCACAGTGTAACATTGTACCCAATGATCTGGAACCGCGTTGGCATACACTGTTCCGATCGCTCGGTCAAACATTTTAGCCATATTTCTGCAATAATCCAATACAGATACAATACCTCAAATAATAACTATTATACACTATGACACTCGACTCAAATGCAGTTTTGTTTTATATATAACGTTTGTATTTCTTCAATATTTTTTGTGCAAATATTTTTGATGGAGAAAGATGCATTGAAGAGGTCTCCTTTGTCCAGGCTATATAGCAATTATTAAATTTTGTTCAAATAGAGTGTAAAATAATGTTAGAAAAAATAGTTTTGTCACGTTGAAATGACAATCTGTCCCGGTGTATGCCCTGCCTGCCTTAATTTAAACCTTTTTAATTTGTTATTCTGTTTTTTCAGTAATGCGGAGAGCCAGTGCAACATCGCGGAAACCTAGTATAACACGCTTTGTACTCTTAACATACCAAATTATAAATTATTAAGAATTGGCTAATATGATAAATGAAATCAGCTATAATTATTTATAAATATCATTGTCTTCATATAAGCTTTTTGCAATCTTGCAAACTAAATTTAGTTATGAAGTTAGAACCATGACTATATTTTTGTACCTCGCAACATGAAATCTCTTTGCGCTTTGACACGGGGTTGACATAAACCCTTGGCTATCCTGTCTATAAACAATGCGTGTTTACTGACATGATGAAGAACAAGACTCATTTGATAAAATCCTGATTAAAATGTCAATGAGTCCAAAAATTTATGACAAATATACAGTAACGACATAACTTAAAAAAAAGTTGAAAAATTACTAAAATTCCACAACTCTTTTTAGTGTGTCTACTTTAAACATACAGTTGATTGAACATGCAGTTTTATTTGGATGTACCAATGGTACATGCCTGGGAACTCTACAATCCCAATACCAAATGGTGAAAAATACTGAGCATTTTTATTAACTTTACGTACATTTTTAGACGAATTTTGATGGCAACCATTACCGTCATGTGCATTTGTTTGCTTTTTCAGTCTCATAAATTGTTCCAGCAGTTGAATGCGTGGTTAAATATTTGTCGTGTTCCGACAAAGGGAAGCAGTTTACATCAGTCATTTATTTTCTCGGTGGAAAGATTTAAAACATCAAAAATCTTTATTGGTAGCACAAAGATCGTAGAATCGTTTCATTGTGATGCAAACTCACTAAATCAATAGTAAATCTATAGAATCCTAAATTTAATAGACGGGAGTGATTTCAAAAGGCATTTTGTGTTTTCGGCCGTTCACCGGAGTTTCAACAACAGTAAAATCATACTCAAAAATTCATTCATATATAAAAAACCAGGTCGTTTAGTTGCAATTAATCAGATTTTTTATTAATTTAATACTTAGACATCATATCTTGAAACAGTTTTCTAAGTTTATGCCTTTATAAACGTATGTTTTATATTTGAATATATACCGAATAGCTGAAAAAAGGACGTTTGCTCGAGATAAGGTATTAGGAATACACATACAATTTATGTTATAGGGTTTATTCTGGGGTGATTGTCTACAAACTTTCCTATGTTATCGCGTGAGTGTAACAACTCCTTGAACAAACAGTCATGGACACACATGAATAACTACTATATTCACATAAGAAAATACCCAAGTTTCTGCATGTCTGTAGACAGGGAAATTTGATAAGATCGAGCTTTCATGGTTACCTTTAAACTGATATATCATTATACTATTGGAAAGGAGATTGATGGTTAAAATTTCTGCTGTGTCATCTGTAAAAAAAAAAAGTTTGCAGATTTGCTAACTAGGTGTTGTGCTATCACCAATGTATCTCAAATATGTTAATTAGTTTGTTGCTAAGTTATCTTAGCTGTCAGTTTCATTTATTTCTTGATCACTGTTAAAAACATTCTTTTAATTAATTTTACGAGTAATTTTCTACACAAAAATGATTACTGTCAAAAATAAACAAATTGAGACTTAATTTCGAGCATTTTAGAGAGGAATCTTAGCGCCATCTTGCGAAATTATGATTTTCCGTTGTTTGGTTACAGCTCGATCCTAACGAACACCTTTGAATACATCGAAATTTTAATTTCTTTGAAGGTTTAACTTTCCCAAAAATATATGCCAGAAGCCCCGTTTTAAACTATTTGGCAGAAGTGTCAATATGCCTAATTTTGCTTTGATCTGATTTTGCCAAGTCATCTCCTTGGTTTTTTTTGTGTAATGTCTTGTGTGAATATATTAAGAAAGTTGTTTGCTATGCCCCAATTGCTACCATAAGAACTACGAACGTAAAACTCGCTGAGTCATAGTGTGCACACATAGACGTGGCTTGTAATGACGACAACAATATAGTTTTCTGTAAAGTCATCCAAATCGTCCAGTACAGTGCCAAGTCATAAATTAGAGTTATGTCGTTTAAAAAAACGTTCGCAATCTTCCATGAAATTTTCAATTTTATAACAATGAACAATTCTACCAAGTAAAATGATCTCGTAGCAACTTTCTAAGTTCATGTCCCCTAGTGGCTGTTTGTCTATACCTTATTTTCGCAGAGCCGATGTTAAACACATTTTATTTCTGATTGAAGCTAACGATGCAGATAATAGTAGATTTAGATAAAATAAGTCGTCACTGCTAAATCATTGCCTTGATCAGAAATTAGAGTATATTATCAGTTTGTAATGTAAACTTATTTTAATTATCTGCCACCCAGATATCGGGAATAAAGTTCGCAACTGAAAAAATACAATTTTGTTAGCATCATTTTCAATGAAAATTTCAATTTTATATCACAATAATGCTAGCAATGCATTCATTTCGCTAATTTTGTTTTTATTTTTCTGTGGCAATATATTTTATTCATCGCATCATCTTTCTATTCAGACAAAATAATTTGGGCTGCAATTTTAAATGGATAAAGTTTTCAGAAAAAATCCCAGTCGGAGTTAAACCATTTTGGGAATTGAGAAGAGTATGCCCAAACAAACAATGACTATGTAATAATTCGAGCCGAAAAAGTCTATGACTCAATATTTACCTCCGCGTTCGTGCAGACGACGAATTTGCGATGTATTAAACCCCATGCCTGGGCATTAGAAAAGTAGCATATGTGTGTATAAAACTGTCAATATTAGCAACGCCTGTTATCATGTATTGAGAAATTTGAAGATTTTAAAAACTCTTGGTTTTCGCATGACATCCTTTGTGTTCATTTAATAAACGACATAGATTGTCGAAAATATTTTGATCGTTTTCATTCATATTTCAATGAAAATTTTCTTAATGATCATCAAATAATCTGTGTTAATGATTTGATTATAACAACAACTTAGGCTATAGAAAACGATATATATTAAATTCATGGCAAGCAATATTAGATCGAACGCTGCATTTTCGCTATATTTTAATCAATCACAAATTTCAACATGCCGATACATATTGAAACAGGCAACACTAGCAACAGTAACTACAGAAATACACAATTTTCTTCTAGAAAATTCATAAACCTTTGTTTGATTATGGAGGTTGCATTTTTCTGTTTTGTGAAATCAAGGACAATGACTTTTTAAACTGCCCATTCTATGTGGCATATCAGATTATTGAATCAATACTTCAGAGTATTTACTTAAGAACATGACTCAGCAGTTTTGCAGGTACAAAAACCCAAGTTATATATCTACCACGTGAATTGACAGCAATTTATTTGAAGCAAGTTGGAATCAGAAGAGGCTTAGAAATGGGTAAATTCGACAAGAAAGTTGTTATTGTAACTGGTAAGTACTTTTATTATGTTTGATGATTACCTGAGTTGAATAATGGTCGAAATTCATCATTTGATTGGACAAAAACTGGAAATTTGAAAGCTAAATCTTTGGAGTGATATGGAGAAAACACATACTAACACACGTGTTAAGCTTAAGTGTGGAGGGGCTTTAAATTTCTCTTCTCAGAAGTTTTCTGTTTATCTTTTTGGACACATTCCAGCTATCCAATTACTTAAAAAAGAAAACCAACGACTGGTATAAAAAAAAATAATGTACTCTGAGATTTACCGCAATTGTCATCACGATTTATATTTTTAAGGCGCTTCCAGTGGGATCGGCGCTGCAACAGCAATATTATTTGCAAATGAAGGTGCTAACGTTGTTGTTACTGGGCGCAACAAAGAACGTTTGCAGGAAACAGCAAAAAAGTGCAAAGCCGCTGGCGCTCAGGTAAATAACACTTAGGGTCTAAGAAATACGCCTCAAAAAAGATAGAAGATAAATCCTATACATTTGCTTTTTTTCTGTTTATTCGGAGAGCATTCATAATTTCAACGTTCTACTGGTTATTTTTCCAGGTTCTGGAAGTTATTGCAGATTTAGTAAAGTTCGAAAATCTAGAAAGTTTAGTCAAAAAATCTGTAGAAAAGTTTGGAGGAATCGATATTCTTATCAATAACGCCGGATATGGAAGAGCAGAAATGGTCGAGACGGTAGGTAACGATTTAATGATATGTAAATATTAATTTAACAAAAAAATACGCCACTGTAAAAAAATGTGATAGAATGATAAAAAAAATTTAATCAACTGTAGAAACAATAATGGCAAATCAAGTTGTGACTTGGTAAGTGTTACTGGATTCGTTCCGACAAAATAATCCAATGCCTTTAGTCAAAAATATTTGTACGACTCAATCTGGCTCTTGTCATGTTTTGATCATTTTATAACACATGCATTTTTAGTATCAATCATGATTATATTATGACTAAATTAGTGGCGTCTTTAGTGTTTCAAATCGATTACGTTTTCAGTAAGTTAATATTATTCCTCATTTATAGCTTGAACTAGATGAATACGAACGAATATTCAACGCCAATCTTCGCGCTCCAGTGTTTCTCTGCAAATATGCTTTGCCACATTTAAAGAAAACTAAAGGTATGGTCGAATTTCCTTATAAAAAATTGAATATTTTTAAAAAAAAAGTTGTTCAAAGCAATGTCACGCGTACCCACAATAAATGAAACTTATCTATGAGCAAAGTTACGAGCGACTACCGACAGGAAAAGAGCTGCTGGAACTATAAAGAACTGGCGGTGCATGGCGCCAGATATTCCATGGAACAACTTACTTATTTTATATATAAACTTATATTTAATTTTCAGGTTGTGTGGTTAACGTGTCAAGCTGTGCTTCACTTCATGCCACCCCGCAATCTGTTCCATATAGCATGACAAAGTCTGCACTTGATCATTTTACAAGGGGATTTTCAGCAGGTAAATAAAATACACAGTAAAATACAGTTTAATCAATGTACTGCAATGTTGCGTTTAATCAAATAATTTAGTATGAGTTGAAAAAATAATATTATGAACTAATTAACGACAATTAATCTATTTCAGAGTGTGCACCTTTTAAAGTACGAGTCAACTGCATCAAGTAAGCAAACTTTTTACGTTTTTATTGTCCTAAACATGTAAACATATATTATAAACAGATCATAACAAATCATACACAGATATTCCAGAAAGATACTTTATATACATAGTTTCAAATGTATTTAATTTTTAATCCCACCCAAAAATTTCACTGTGGCTATAGGTAATGGTAATGCGTAACTGGAGCTAACTGGTAATGAGTAATTTTATTTCTGATGAATGAAATATCTTATTTAAGTCCTGCTGTAGTTGGAACAAGGTTTGGAGAGAACTTGAATATACCAAAGGAAACGATGGACAAGGTACGAGTTTGAAAATACTATTATCTAAAATCGTCCTTGTTCTATTTTACAAAAGACGTGGGATAGGTTTTTGAGATACTCAATTTCAGATGGCTTTTAAAACAATATTTTGTGGCATGCATTCAATGATACTGAGCGAAAAACCGTTCTGCCGTCAATTATAAATTATCATCGAAGGATTATGATAAGGATCAACTTGAAAAGGAGAAATATTTTTTATGTTAAAATGAATGACATTTACAAATTATAGTATTAATCCAATTTGTCCTTATTTAATGTAAGATCTTTTGAAAGTCATTGCCTTTATTGTCACAGCAATATTCTTGTTTAAGAATTTGGGTTATTTGTGTCTATGGTGTAACGCTTTTATAGACAGAATTACCAAGCTATCGCCGTGTTCCTAGCCATTCATGCGTATATATGCGTATATATACGTACAAACAAATTAAAAATATTACATTCGATTGAAAATATGTGTTCTTAATTCAGTTGATTGGTGCCTATATGAAAAGACAGCCACTGGGTATTATCAGTTCCGAACAAGTAGCTGATGGTATTCTTTATCTTTGCTCATCGCCCGTTACTACGGGAATCACTCTTCCAATGGATGGAGGCTTGCTGAATTCATCATCCATGTAATGTTTCACGGAGAACAAAATATATTTGTTCTACAAATATTCTGTTGCTGGTATTTTTTGCAAAGCTTACCAGATTACCGCTCTAAATTTTGGAAATTTCAACGTTTAATTACTGACTATCTATTTTTTTCTTTGGATTAGCATCTCAAACACCGTGGTTACATATCTGGGCTTTCTGTTCAGCCCCTACAGAAATTAAAATATTACATTTGTTTTTGTTATTTTGAAATAAAGCAATGTAACAAATAGTAATTTTGGTCTGAATTGTACTCACGAGGGTGTTCGTTGGCAAGAGCTATTTGGTAATTTGATTGGTTGGGAGTCCTAAAAGTTATCAAGACCGTGACATTGTTGACGTCAACAAATGCCAGCTATTGAAGATATGTGGCAATAATATAATACCTTTGGTCATGCTTTTAATATCAGAAGTTTGTCAAGAGATTGTAAATACCTAAACGTATGCTAAAAGACCACTTATCATTTGCAAAAATTCCTGTGCAGTAACCTATAGGAAGATATTAATTTACAGACAGTATTGGGTTAGAGACCCAGAAAGAAAAACAGTCGCAGATGTGGCAACAATACACTTTGTAACTAAGTTTTGGTTAAACTAAATTTAATCTAAAATTTCTTCATGAAGATTGAATGAAAAAGTTTCAGTGTCAGAATTTTGTGTGAATCTATGAAATTCAGTGTTCAGGGATTCAGAAGTGGACAAGGTATGGACAAGCTTTTCATAAACGTATTAACGTTTTGACAAACCGAAGTGTTTTTAAATCCAAAGGTATCGGGATATGGTTGAAACGTGGTGCGTTCATAAAGGAGCGACTCGATTAATGTTCCAATACTACCAGACTACAAACGTAAGTCTGATCAAAAAGTGGATGATTAGAAATTTTTCCGTGTTTGGGAAAACTTGGGAATATCATTCAGGAACACTTTTGCAGCAGTGCGGTTTCACGAATACGCCAAGTTCGCCAGGCCCACAAAAGATTCGGCTCGATGCAAAAAGACACTATAGGTTTGATAGTTTGATAACGCAAGTAAAGAAATTTACTAAGCACTGAAAATCAGAAATGCATAGATTGAACAAATAAGAAAAGCAGTAAAACACGTCCATCTTTAACAGCAGTCAGACAAGGAAGACATGGTGCAATTCAAACAGAAGTGCCGGGAGTCACTCAACAATTGTGAAATCTATTTAAGTGGAAAATATATCAGTTGAAACCGTGGCTCTGACTCCACAGTCCACACATTTCTGAACAGGACATTTAAGTAATATAAATAAAACATTAAATAAAACAGAATTCAGTCCCTTCACCACAACCCCATGTTCTGTAGAAAAAAGTCACCAACTAATTTACTCTCGAATATGAATTCCTAAAATATCAATCCCAGCTCAGTAGGCCTAAATTCCATATAAAATCACAGTTCTAGCATGTGGTAAGTGAAAGCCATAAGATATCAAACACATTAATTATGATGGACGGCAATTTGAAAAATAATCAAAACACTTCTGAATCATCACTGACGTGTCCTTATCTGCTTGTTATTTTCCAGTATTATTAAACGTACTTTCGCGGAGTGAACCTCACTGAACTCCTTCAGAGGTCAAATGAGGACACAATAAATTGGAATGCTAAGTGTTCATAAATGATGATGCAACATTGAACGATCGAATCGATCCAAATAACAGTTATAACGAAATATACACATGAACCTTACCTCTTTCATGTATCGTGGTCAAATTTTCACATCGGCAAAAACACGTTCTATTTTAGTCAAGTGATGTTTTTATATTGGCCCACTAGGTTATGCCGCTGAGTAACGTATACATTACACATCGCTCTGCTGGAGGTAGAAAAATCGGTGGTGGTGAACGATAAAGCAGTGGTGATGGCTCGTTTAGCTGTTTTTAAAGATTCCTTCAGCATTTTGGAGTATTTTGGTGGTGATGCGTGTGCTAAAATTGGCACATACAGTTACTGAGTTATGGATATAAAAGTTTATGTTCATCTCTGATTCAGATATTCATTTCCGTTGTGCATGAAATATAATACAATTGAACAAAACAATAAATTAAATAACTTGTTGAAAACAAGTTAACAAACACACAATATTTCGTCGGGTAATTGATGAGTCATAGAGATAGAGATAGAGATATCAGTTATTTGTTCAGAATCAATGATCCCAAGTCGCCAAGAATTTGGATGTAGCGTTCTTTCATCTAAATTAAGAACATGGTATTATTGAAATGCAATATTTTTGCACTTGTGTGTTAATGCTCTTAGAATTTGGGCATGGATGGCCGAGAATATAGAGGTGGTTGAGTCGGAACACAAATCATGTGAATTCCCCTCATAAAAATTTCTGGTGAGAAACAAAAAAAAGCTTCCACGTGGTCTCGCATTAAACTATAAGGACAAAAAATATAAGAACCTCAAAAGCTAGCTACTTCGTTCCAGTGCATGAGCATCCATAACTTGTTTGTACAGACGACTGATTTGCGATGTAAAGAACCACATGCCATGGCATTAGAAAAGTAGTATATATATATATGTGTTCAAGACTGTCAATATTTGCAACGTCCCTATCGTGTATTGAGAAATTCTTCAGAGCATTTACTTAAGAACGACACGACTCGGCAGTTTTGCAGTTACAAAAAGCCGTTATATATATCCACCACATGAATTGACAGCAATTTATTCGAAGCAAGTTGGAATCAGAAGAGGCTCAGAAATGGGAAAATTCGACAAGAAAGTTGTTATTGTAACTGGTAAGTACTTCTTTATGTTAGATAATTACCTAAGTCCAATATTGGTTAGTCTACACTATTTTGTCGCAACCTTTGTCTAGAATATTTTAAAAGTCAAAAAGTTAATCCTTGAAGTGATAAAAACACACAAACACACATTCATACTAACACACATCGCATTAAGCTTCAGTAGGGAGGGGCTTAAATATCTCATTTCAGACGTTTTCTGTTTATCTTTTTGTGCATACTCCAATTATCCTCTTACATAAAAATGATACCCAACGACTGCTGGTATCAAAAAAAGTAATTGCCCCACAATTGTCATCGCGATTTCGATTTTTAAGGCGCTTCCAGTGGTATCGGGGCCGCAACAGCAGTATTATTTGCAAATGAAGGTGCTAACGTTGTTGTTACTGGGCGAAACAAGGAACGTTTGCAGGAAACAGCAAAAAAGTGTGAAGCCGCTGGTGCTCAGGTAAAAAAAACACATAGAGTCTCTTATGCATGGCGTTTTTATCTGTTTATTCATACGGAATTCACAATGTCAACGCGTTACTGGTTATTTTTCCAGGTTCTGGAAGTTATTGCAGATTTAGGAAAATTTGAAAATCTAGAAAGTTTAGTCAAACAATCTGTAGAAAAGTTTGGTGGAATCGATATTCTTATCAACAACGCCGGATATGGAAGAGCAGAAACAATCGAGACGGTAGGTAACTAATATATGATATGTGGACTAGATAGCGATCGGAGACCGTCGACTTATCGATCGTTCGCAGCGACGAAAGTTGGGGGATCCCCAAAACAGAATCTGCGGTTTCGATTCCTTCGCTCTGATTCAATAGCGACAACACGTGTCCTATCACTAATTGATTAAACGCTCTCTAATTATACGACATAATTCATCCAAAAGCAATAGACTTCTGGTCCGAGATATAGAGAATGCCCACGCAAAATTTGGAGCAGATTCAATTTCGCTTTCGTGAGATATCGCGTAACATACGAAAGTGTCTAACAGACAAATACCTATCAACATACTTACCGATCGAGATCAATAAGTAATAATACCTTGACAAGAAATTACGTAACTGATAAAAAAGGTAATAAAAAGGCATAAAATTGAATCAATTGTAGAAGCAATAATGGCAAATTAAATTATGACTTGGTGTGTGTGACTGGAGTCCTTACGACAAGATACTCCAATGCTATGAGTCGGGCATGAATATTTGAATATGAATATTTCATGACACATGCATTTTCATCATTAACCATGATTTTATGGTGGCTCAAATTAGTTTCAAGTCGACGACTTTTCTAATTATATATGAATGTTAATTTTTGAGTAATCCATTATTCTTCATTCGTAGCTTGAACTAGAGGAATACGAACGGATATTCAACGCCAATCTTCGTGCTCCAGTGTTTCTCTGCAAATATGCTTTGCCACATTTAAAGAAAAGTAAAGGTTTGGTAGAATTTCCTTTTTAAAGTTGAAGATTTTTTCTAAAAATGTTGCCATGTGTACCCACAATAGAAGAAACTTATCTCTGGGCAAAGTTACGGGCGAACACTGACTTGCAAAGAGCTGCTGGAAACATAAAAAATGGCGGTGCATTGCGCGTTAGCAATTACAACAACCTAAAATTAATACATTTTTAATATGGTATTATTTTTATCGGAAACATAAATGGTTTTGTATAAAGAACATTAGTGCCGTCAAATAATTGGGCAATATATGTAAGGAGTAATGAAATTCCGCATTTAGAAGAATATAAAATTGATTTACAGAATACGCATTTCAAGATGTAAATCATAATTCTTTTTTAACATGTCTTTGCAAAACACTAAAAATTTGTTTTGTCTATGTACGATTGAAGCAATATTTGCATAAAAACGTAATATAATGAAGGTTTCATAGAACAACTCACTCATTTTATATATAAACCTTTACTTAATTTTCAGGTTGTGTGGTTAACGTGTCAAGCTGTTCTTCACTTCATGCCACCCCGCAATCTGTTCCATATAGCATGACAAAATCTGCACTTGATCACTTTACAAGGGGATTTTCAGCAGGTACATAAAATAGACTCAAAGTTGAATCAGTGTACTGCATTATTGCGTTTAATCGAATAAGTTAGTATAAGTTGATAAAATAGTATGTATTAATTAATGGGAATTAATCTATTTCAGAATGTGCACCGTTTGGAGTTCGAGTCAACTGCATTAAGTAAGCGAGCTTTTTACGTTTTTATTTTCCTGGTCAATTTTTATGTCGCCACCAATCAATTTATAAACGTAAAATTGCATCTTAATTATCATAAACAAATATTTCAAAAAGATACTTTATAAAGATAGTTTCAAATATATTTAATTTGTTAATTGACCCCAAAATGTCACTGTGACTAATAACTGGTAAAGAGTGAATTTATTTTTGATGAATAAAAAATCACTTTTAAGTCCTGCTGTAGTTGGAACAAGGTTTGGAGAGAACTTGAATATACCAAAGGAAACGGTGGACAAGGTAAGAGCTGAGAAACATTATTATGTAAAATCGTCTTTGTTATGTTTCACGAAAAGCGTGGGAAAAGATTTTGAGATACTCAATTTCAGATAAGTTTCAAGACAATATTTTGTGACATCCATTCAATGATACTGAACGTAAAACATCATGCCGTCAATTATAATTTTATCATCGCAGGATTATGATAAGGAATTATTATTTTGTTAAAATGAATGACATTTATTAAACAATAGTATTAATCAAATTTATCACTATTTTAAGTGAGATCTTATGAACGTCATTATTGGTATTTTTCAACGCTAAATTCTTGTTTAATAACTTGGGTTATATGTGTTTATGGTGGAACACTTTTGTGATATTCAACATACGTACCCATCTTTTGAAACGCTGGTAAAATTCAAGTTAATTCAAGTCAAAATTACTTATAAACAGAATTAACAAGCTATTGCTATACTCCTAGTCATTCATGCGTATAATTATGAGCACAAACAATTGAAATAATATTACTCTTAAGTCAAATCGTGTGTTTCTTAATTTAGATGATAGCAGTCTATATGAAAAAACAGCCACTTGGAATTATCAGTTCCGAACAAGTAGCTGATGGTATTCTTTATCTTTGCTCATCGCCCGTTACTACAGGAATAACTCTTCCAATGGATGGAGGCTTGCTGAATTCATTATCCATGTAATTTTTTACAGAAAACAGAATATATCAGTTTCATAAGTATTCTGTTATATTTATGGCAATGCTTACCAGAGCACCACTCTAAATTTTGAAAAATTCCAATGTGTAATTACTGACTAGGGACTATCTAATTTGTCTTTGGGTCTGCATCTGAACACCGTGGTACATATCTAGGCTTTCTGTTCAGCCCCCAATGCGTATACATAGATTGAAATATTACATTTGTTCTTGTTATTTTGAAATAAAGAAATGTAGAAAAGAGTCATTTGATTCTGAATTGCACTCACGAGGACGAGACGTCAACAAATGAGTTGGTAATATTTTTGATATCAAAAGTTTGTCAATAGATAGTAAATACCTAAACGTATGCTGAAAGGCCACTCATCATTTGCAAGAATTCCTATTCAGTAACCTGAGAAACAAGTTATTAATTTATAGGCAGTATTTGGTAAAAGACGCAAAGAGAAAAACAGTCGCGGATGTGGAAAATTATAAAGATTGGGAAAATCATCCAGAAATAGTTTCTTAAACTGCAGCGAAGCGGTTTCACGAATACGCCAAGTTCGCAAGGCCCACAAAAGATTCGGTCTGCTGCAAAGCGACACGATAGGTTTGATAGTTTGATTATTAGTAAAGAAATTTACTAAGTACTGAAAATCAGAAATGCACGGATTAAATATATAATGAAATAAAGTAAAACACGTCCATTTTAACAGCAGTCGGACAAGGAAGACATGATGCAATTCGAAAACGGGGCAGTGCGGACAGAAGTTCTGAGAGTCAATCAATAATTGTGAAATCTATTTCAGTAGAAAATATATCAGTTAAATCAATGGCTCTGACTCCACACTCTTCTGAACACAACATATAGTTATATCAATGAAACAATAAATAGGAAAAAATTCAGTCCTTCCCCTACAACCCCATGTTACTTAGATAAAATTCACTAACAAATTTATTCTCAATTGTGAATCCCCGAAATATCAATTTTAGTCCAGTATATTCAATATAAAACACAGTTCTAGCATATATATGCCAGGTAAAAGCCAGATGATATAAATCACAGGAACTGTGATGGCCTTCAATTATAAAAATAATTAAAACACTTCATCACTGTTCAGCAAACGTGGTCCCTATTTGTTAATACTATTAATCGTACTTTCGCGGAGTAAACCCCAACTGAACTCCTTCAGAGGTCAAAATGAGAACACAATACTCGTATATTAGAACGCCAAATGCTCATATATGATATTGCAGCGTTGCATGATCGAATCGAATGGATCCAAAAAACTGACATAACAAAATATCTTTCTTGCCAAACTGCTATCCAAACTTGGTTAATGTTGCTTCCTTGTCGAATCCAACTCGCGTAGCAGCCAAGGCACCGATATCAACATCTCATACGGGCCACGTTAACAACCCGTCGTTGCATTCCGTGTCACAAAGCGAAGAAATGTTTTCATTACGGAAATAAGACGGCACAGGCAGATGAATCATATCTATCTCGTAAAATTGTGAATTTTCTTAGCGGTTAGCTCGTAAACTTGTCAACCTCTCTGATTTCGATCAGTTCCCTTGGTATCGGCCCCTCACATAATAACACCTTCGGGTTAGTTGTTTCCAATACCGATAAATCCACGTCTGTTAGCGCGTTCCGATCAATTGAGATTTCTCTCATTTTCTTCCGAACTTTTGCCTTTCTTGTTCTAGTAAAATGTATGTACTTTCGCGTCAGGGTTTTCAAACCAGTTTGTAGTATGAATTCTACGTTTCTTGCTCGCGTTACATGATATAGTGTTTCGTTACCAAAATATTCATTATACGCTGGCCGTACGCTGATGCTAAGCCATTTTCTGCAACGATAGCTCTTTCACTGCCTTACATTACTTCCTGCAAGTAAGCTTCTTGGTATCTGACGCCAAATTGTTTCTGTGAAAGATTCTGCAATTGTTCCCATGGGTGGAAACCTTTGCTCGCAAATGAGCATTCTTCATGTCTGCTGTGTGTTACCAGGGCTCGCTGTATTTTTTCTCTTTTCTTCGTTTAGTCTGGCGACATAGTATGTGTTGCCCAAGCGCTTGTTTCATTTGGCGTAAGGGACATTTCCATCTAGAATGCACGAGAGAGACCATCGGAGGTAAAAATTTCTCTAGTAGATTGGTTTATTACTTTACCTATTTGAAATCCTGATAAATGATTCAGCCATCTTTGTATCAGTATTCGAGGACTTGGGTTTTTCGAGTTCTCTTTCATTCTCTTTAGTAGACCAAATACTCCCGTATTGTCTCATCGTATCTGTCACACCGCAATGAAAATAGGCTTTCTTTAGGTCAAGAAGCGTTAGAACATCCCTTCCCTGGGTCATTTGCTCTATATAGGGTATTGGTGGGGATGGTATTTCAATCGGTTTGATTGCAGGCTCCAAGGGTTGAGGATTTTGTACGACTCTCCAAGATTGTTGCCAGCCCGCTTATTGCCTTTTTCGCTTTTTCATCTTCCGGGGAACTACGAATATCGCCAGTTTTCATTCTGAGAACCCAGGCTATATTACTCCGAGTCCCAGAAAGTATTTCACGGCTTTTTCGAGTGCTTCCGCTAGGCCCTTTCCCCTCAGGTTGTACGGTCCTCAGACAAAAGGTTTTCTCTGGCATAGGGCCCATATACTTTTCTCCGTTCTTCTTCCGAGATTATGGTATTTTCAGGTGAATTAAGATAGGCTTCCTTTGCAAGGGCTATCGCCTCAGCGTTCAACCTTCTTGTCTTACTTCGTTTGATGTGCCTTATTTCAATGCCTAATTTATTATTGTTTCGTACGTCGTAACGTGTATATCGACTTGGTGCCCGCAGGCAACGGGTTGGTGAACCCCTGCTTTTGACTCTATAAATTGCCCTTTCGCGTCGGACCGCACAAAAGAGTCGTTGCTCTTAGTTCTCCGACTGTCATTGCCAAATTACTCATGCACGACGATGAGGTATTCATTTCTATGGGGATCGATTGCAAGGCATGCACCTGTCCCAGCCATCCGAACCCAATTATATTTAGAGGAAACTCTTGCCCCGTGATAAAAGGAACTTCAAGCCCGTCCATATTTACTATCATTAGGGAATTTACTTGACAAGATACGCCTATGGCCTTTAGTATCATAGAAGGGAGGCGGCGATCTTCCAACTTTGTGGGTATGCCTGTTTTGCTGTTTCCATTGTCATTAAGTTCGGTACGCCACCGGTATCAGGTAAAAATGTGGCTCCGGTTTTTTCATTCTTCAAATACATAAGAGGCAGGAGTTCATAGTTCATAATTTTTAAATATTTACAGGGTAACATTTGTTTCGGGGAGTTGATGTACCGGTTCCATCAACTTCCGTACTAGTTTTCCGCTAAATCCAGGCCTTGTTGCATCTCTTGTTCTGTTAAGTTGGGTTGGATGTAGTTAACCGGGGCTGTTGCTCCATTGGTTGTAGCTTGAGTTAGTTGCGAGTTCCAGTGCGACATCTTTCGCCAAGGAGTTCTATCCCGGGATTTTGGTCTGTACCCAAAATATCTCCCAAACAGGCTGGCTCTTTTCAGTAATGTTGGGGACTTTTGCGGGACGAGAATATTCTCAAAGATTCAGGTAGCTTCGCCCTAAGGTTACGAAATAATCGAACAACGTCTGGATCTAACATATTCTCGCGTCAAGCTGGATGTCCATTTTACGCAATGCTCGGTGTATCTCGAACATGGATCTTTTCATCCAACTGTGATTGGTGCCAAAGTCATTTAACATCTTTTCATTAGTAGCAATGCCGGGGGGGTTAGATATGGGCAGTAGTCCCATTATTGATTCTCAATTTGGACTCGGCATGTCGAACATATCTACTATTTGTGCAGCATCTTTTTGACGGCCTGCTCTCGAACTCTGGGGGTGGTGGCAGACAATTTTGGTCACAATGGTTGGGGTCCTCAAGAATAGAAGATGGCTGTGAGCGTTGTTCTTTCGATGTGATTGAAAGAGATGGGAACAAATTTGGTCTTTCTAACACCACGTTAATTAGCCGTCTGGTTCGTGGTCCCTTCACCAATCTTTGTGGCGTGTTTGCCCATTTCAATCTAGAGCTACGTTCTTCAGTCTCCCTTTTGTTTGGTTCCGGTAATCTGTTAATCTGGTTTGACGCTTCTAAATTTACAGAACGGTGGGTACGTTTTTTGCAAAATATACAATTGAACGATACGTTAAATGCAAAGAAAAACATATAACACCATAACGCAAAGACAACAACTTTTCAAATTTGTCGCTTTTTTTCTGGTAGCTAGTGCGGTGGGGAAATCTCGCACAATTCACGATTGAGTTGGAGACGCGCGAGTTCGGTGTCCAAGCAAAGCGGCGCAGGTCACGTGGTACCGGATATTCGAATCGTACAATGCCATTAGAATATTTTATTATTCTATTCGTTATTTGAATATTTTGTCCAGCCCTAGTTGTTACGCGTGTTGTTGTTACGATGACTTGGTATTTTAATACGTGTTTAAGTTTTGTTGCTATTTTAACTTGCGTTGTTTGTGTGCGGCTCTTCAGAATTTTGAGATTCGAAATTTGGCTCTGGGACTAAAAAAGTTTGCGAACCACTGATAACTCATAACTATAGGTGCAGCGTTCATTCGAAAAAAAACATTTAATTTGATGCCTAAATCGATTCACAAATACGCATACACTTCAAGCATGGCACACGTTTCGACAATCGCATGCATTTGCTCTTTCCTATCATATGCAAAACAGAAGCTGTAGGAGCAGCATCGTCGGTTGCAACAACGGTTGGGCGAGATTGTTAAATCTCTATGTTTTGAAAATAAAAACCAACTGCCTTTTCAAACCCAGTAACAGCCTGATGACATTAATTAATTCTAATGTATTTCAAATATTACTACTAAACTGTAAGGATATTAAATGTAGACCAACTAGCAATTATGTCATTTGCCTACACATTATTTGTTTGCAATAAAGTTACTAAAAATGTGTTTGTCCTGAGTTAGTGTTAAAGTTAGTGATCATACTACGGAAAACCTCATAAATAGGTTGACAACAGGATGAACGTGTTTTGTCATTTTGTAGTCATAAAGTATATGAACCACTATCAAGCGCAAAGTCTAATCCCATGGAGGTGATAAGAAAATAAATAGAATTTGGCGTCGGATGTCCATACAATGTTTATTGAGGTTAAGTATATATTTGACTGACCCAGTTAAATTCTTCAGCGGATGGTTTATCTTGTAAAACAAGTCACATTAGACTTATTCAAACGATTATATTTACGACAACTCTAAGTCTCGCAATAGCTAGAACTGAAAAGTTCCTCCTGTGGTATGAATAGGCAAATTTGAAGTAACCTATAGGTATATAGAAAGAAGTTAAACGAACGAGGACGGTCTGTTCCCCTTGAAAGTGTTATGAAGATTTTAATACTTTCAGTATTATTTTCCCTGGGTGAGTTATATATATATTTAATAATTTATTGTGTATGTTCAGCACTACGATCCGCCAAAATTGGGGAAAGGTATCTTTTATGTTGAAGCAATACCGTAACGGTTTATAATTGTGTCGGGTTTTTGAATCATACCAATCAAACCTTGTCAGAATAATTATAAATATCCCATGGGTAACGTTCCAAGTTTTATTTGAAAGTTTTAGTTAGAATTTTCACCTGCGCCGTACTAATTCGAGACTGTGAGATGTGATGGAACTTTTTTTAACAACGGTCGATGGAAAGTGCGACTCGTAACAAATATTGACGGCATGTTCAAGAGCTCGGTTTAGACAGGCGCACACTTTTGTGTTTGCTAAACTGGACACAAAAATTACAGACATGGTACCAATAAAAATTTAGCAAAATTTCACACGCTGTCAGATAGAAAAAACATTTGTTAATTTGAATTACCAAGTTGCATATATAAGTTTAAAACAGTGGAAGTATGTTTGTATAGGTCTGGTTTCATTTGCAAAAGCGTCGACCGAAACAGAACCATGGCTCGACATCAGATTGCCGAAGAATCTCATTCCGATAGAATACGAAATTGAACTTCGACCAGAGTTTGAGAAGAATGAAGAAGGAATGTATATATTCACTGGATCATCTTCTGTCACTTACATCTGCAACATTCCAACTAAATACATCATTTTACACAGCATGTGAGTAGCCTACAGCGGAAAAAATTGTCAATTGTGACGTTACTATTTTTTTTCTATATATTCGATGTGAACTTTTATCTGTATATTTCAGTAACATATGCCTGATATCCTTATATTTTCAGGGTATTCCATCATTTATTAAGAATATAGTATTAAACCGGCGTAAAAACGGAGCATGACCGGGCATGTTTCTTAACAAAGGAAAGATCAAACTTCGTTTTCTTATATTTTGTTTTCTATAATTTCGTAATGTTAGTTATTATTTATGGATTTAACTTTGCCGAATTTGTTGAAATGGGAGAACGAATAATAAATATACTTTCGGTTGAATTGTTGGTGCTTTGTGCCAATGGATACAAAAAGATATTTCGTGTATAAAGCCTACCGAAAAAAAAAAATTTCCTCATATACAAATAAACTATTATCACAATTTCAACTTGCAATATATAAAAAGCGCGGAACTGGTGAGCCGATCAGTTGTTACGCAAATACGTTGTACGATCTACGCATGTAAAAATATGAATAATATTATATTTTCTGCTTAATCCAGAAAACTGAACTACACAGCAAAGCAAATTGATGTCAGAATAGAAAATGGTGCAGAATTTCCTTTCGAGCGCGCATTTCTTTACAAACCTTACCAATATCTTGTTGTTGAAACTCAAAGTGTTTGCTCTAAAGGTGTAAACTATGTTCTCACAGTATCCGATTTTGTTTCTGAATTTGAGAATGACATGAACGGGCTTTTCAGAGTAGAAATTATTGATGGATCTGGAGAAAAAAAGTAAGATAAAAAACGATATTACTTGAATAATTGCAGATATTACCTCTTATTTTCGCTGGAAAAATTAAGCCTAAGTGCCAATGTGTCAAATATGAGTTGAAATATCTCAATATATTTTTCAATTCATATTCGAGACGAACTCGAAAATGCTCGGTTGACAAATAACTCTTACGTAGCCATAATAAAATGAGTAAATAAATGTTTGAACTTTGAACAGAGTCATGGCTGCTACACAGATGGAGGCAACTGGAGCGCGAGAAACATTTCCATGCTTTGACGAACCCGCACTGAAAGCTAAATTTTCAGTCACTTTGTGGTATAAGGCCAGCACGGGATATTTTGCAGTCTCTAATATGAAGCCAATATCTTTTCAGGTACTTTTGTCTTCTATATTTGGAGAGTATTGGTATACGGTACATAGCTGCTTGTTTATTTTAGCGTGGATTTTTCCACTTTAAAGTTTACCCCAGTGTGTATAATAAGTCGACAGTTACTAGTGAAGCGGTTAAAAAGGATAAAGTCCAAGTTTTTTCATATCAACAAACATACATGGGGCTGAGCTACCAGAGTTTAAAGGATTTCAAGAGTATATTTTTATTTTTCTTAAATGAACAGACAAAATCAGTCGATGGTGAATTGTGGAATTCTACAACGTTTGACAAAACAGTGAAAATGTCTACCTACCTCTTGGCTTTTGTTATAAGTGATTTTGGTTACGAAGAGACTTTTACGAAATCTGGAGTACAGGTTCATTTTATTTTTATTTTAAACAAAACTTTAAATTACAGGCATAGCAGTGCATCGTACTTAAAGGGAGTTTGATGGTGAATATCTATTTAAACTAAAATTTGAGGTCCTCTGTTCGCTATCTGTGTCGTTTATGAAAAAAGTATTTCAGTTGACGTTTGTTTGTGCGACTTGTGTGGCTCCAAAAAGAGATGTTAAACAAAATAAATAGCAAGTATCGTATGTATTTATATAACACTTAAAATATATTATGAACAGTGGCTCTGTGTAGGTCACGGAATGAAATATTGAGAATTTCAATAGTAGACACGCTTACACTGAAAAGCTGTGTTGTGGCGCTTCAATCAAAGTCACTACTATTGTTAATCAAAACCCAGAAAAAAATCGCAAAATTATTTTTTCAACTTACTGATTTCTCGAACGTAAAAGTTTACTTTCTTCAGACAAGAATTTATGCTCGCAAAGAAGCAATCGCAAATAACGAAGCACAATATGCATCAAAAATTGTACCGAAGATACTTCAGTATTTTGAACACTATTTCAACATTGAATACCCGCTCCAAAAAGCAGGTTGGAAGTAAAAAATGCTAATTTGAATCAGTTGAATTTCCAATTGTTAAATATAAATAGAATGTTCTAAATTTTGGCAAGATTTGGTCACTAAAATAAACAGCACAACACAAGATCACCATCAAAAACAAGTCTGGATTGAGCGAACTCATAATAGTTTATTCAATGTATTTCGTCAATATCGAGAACACGTAAAACTCATGTTTTACTTTTTTTATAAAACTATGTTTACTTTTTTCAATGTTTTTTACTTAGTTCTTTCATTCAACCTACACACCGCAACGTTATTCCTACTCTCCCTAGCAGGCCCTTTGTTCAACACAGAAAATGTAACGCTTGGCGTCCTTATCTTCAGATAGAGTTGAAAGAAAAAATTGTTATTTTTGTATAACTTTGTTGCATTAAATTGGAACAATGTCTCGCTACATATTTCACTAATTGCATGAACTTATTTCTATGATTGTAGTGTAAATACAATTATTTTAATGTTATCTAATTTTAGCCAATAAAATTATTGAATTCATTTCAAAAATGAAGCATAAAGAGTAAAGTTGTATGAATAGTTTCCACAGTTTGGCTCCGATACTCCATTACATTTATACATATTTATATTTTCCAGATCAATTAGCTTTTCCTGATTTCGGTGCCGGAGCGATGGAAAACTGGGGATTGGTTATATACTCAGAAAGCAATATTTTGTACAAAAAATCAACTTCTTCCATCACAGATAAAATTGACCTGACTTATGTAATGTCCCACGAGCTTGCACATATGGTTAGCTTCTTTAATGTATCCGTAAAAATACAAGTTGGACAAAGAGCAGAAATTTATATTCGATCCTGCTTTGTATAAGTTTTATCGGTAGAAAAAGGCTTAAAACCTAACCGGCGAATATTGCGTATCCTTGTTTTCGAATGTTAATTTTCTATGTTAATTTAGCTTGGGTATCATTTTCTCATAGTGGTTTGGGAACCTTGTGAGCCCAATGTGGTGGGATGACATTTGGTTGAATGAAGGATTTGCAACTTACGTCGGGTTTCTAGGTGAAGCAAAAGTTCAGCCGGAATGGAAAACTGTAAGTAACAACGTGCAATCTTACAATCACTGACACTGCTCACAATAAGAACCGCACACTTCCGTCGTCGTATTATTATGTTTTCAGTTGATCTGCAAGACCCAGTCTTAGTTGAGGGGTATTCTGAAAAATTGCAATATACGTCATCTAACTGAATTCTGTCTTTATCAAACGTCTAAAACAATTTTAAGGTGTATCAATAATTCTTGTTTTTACTACATTTTGTAAGCATATGAGTTATAAAGTCAATTTTAATTTAGTTTCAAAGATTTGTGATCGGGAGTCTTCGTGATGCATTAATAGCTGATGCGTTCACAACGTCTCATCCTCTGGTTCAACCTGTCAACACCCCTGATGAAATCTGGAGCCAATTTGATGTCATAAGCTATAAAAAAGTAAAACAGTTTTTTAAATTCTTTCGACATTTTTCTAATAGAAATGTCTGCAATATATCTTACTGTTTCTAATAGTGGTGTAAAAAAGTTAAATTGAATGATTGAATTAAATTTGAATGGTCGTGTAACCAATGAGTTCAGTTCACTGAAGGTTGTGTCATTATCATTATATCATTATCATTTTATATGTTTCAGGGATCGAGCGTGATAAGAATGACTAACAACTTCTTAGGAGAAGAAAATTTTATTGCTGGATTAAGGGTGAGAGACTTCCTAAAAACTAAATGATTAAGTTAAAGAATTTATAGTTTTTTTTTATAGGTCTTTTTATTAAGTACTCGGATGCAAAAAATACTTGTTAAAAAACAGCGAGCAAAAAACTTCTCTTACTGCTTATTGTTTATCCATTTATGTTAAAAAAATTACTAAATATTTAGGAATTCAAGTGATCAAGAATCTTGCCGATCAAATAAATTTCTGTAACGTTTCGTTTGACCAAGGTCAGACTTCCTCAAACATACATGATTTGAGCAGAACGTGATATTTGAGTTATGTATGCCTGAGGAAGTTTGACCTTGTTCAGGCAAAACGTTACAGAAATATCTTTGTGTTAATGTGCAGCAAGATTTGTTTGAATCATTTAGAAAAGTTAACTTTTAACCTTGCTACAGCATCCTTGAATTATATGCATATGGATCCACCGGCACAAAAGCATAGAAGAAAAAGAAGGAGTTAGTCTCGTAGAAACTAAATCAATAGCGAGAGATTTAACAATACTCTAAATTACAAAATAATTTCCGTCTGATTAAGGTATATTTCGATAATTTTCAGCAATATCTACGCAATTTAGCGTTCGGTTCTGCCACTCACAATGACCTATTTCAACATTGGGAAGATGTAAGTATTTTAATTGCTATATTGAACAGTGTATTGCCAGTTCATATGCAAAATATCACTTTGCAAATCATACGAAATTATCTAGTGAGTATCCAAGCGAGGGTCGTCCAACCCGTGGCCTGCGGGCCACATGTGACCTGCCGATGGTTCCCGAGTGGCCCGCGCGGTATTATTTGAATCCCAATGTATTTCACAAATCTGAGCCATTATTGAAACCTATATTAAAAAAATTGTCGTTCATACGCGCGAGAAGCACCACCTAGCTATTGAAAGCTTCTTTTGTGTCCATTTGTGGTCGTTATTGCTAGTGAGACATGTTTGAATTTATTTTTATCGTCGGCCATGTATATCAATCTGTTTGCATGTCTTTTTTCTGTGAAGCCAGAAGAGGCAGTTCTATAACCTCAATATTTGACGGCATTTACTTCTACAAGCAAGATTTTTAACGGATGAACCATGTAAAATCACCTGTGAAACACTAATTTCTGACAGCCACGTGAAAAATCCACTCCGCATTGCTACATCTTCCACTGTACCTACTATTGACAAACTTGTTGGATAAACGCAGTGCCATACTTCCCATTGAAATATCTATGTGTAGTTAAAACTCTTTAACTTTACTGTATCTTCGTATTTTCATTGTTCTTATAATTTAGATGCTTTGTTTGTTTTTTCATTGATCTGTAGTCGGTGTAGTGAAAACTAGAACATAACTGCCATGTCAAGTGGTCCGCGCAACCTTTCGTAAACTAAATGTGGCCCTTCGTCCAAAAAGGTCGGACAGCCCTGATCTAAGCCCAATAGAACGCACTATTTTTATTCATTATCTGATTCAAATTAGACTCATGTTAGTAGTAAATCTATAATAGGAAAACGATTTATTTTTCAACTTTAGCAAGCGCAAGTCGCCGATCTTGGGTTACCTACCAGTGTTAATGAAATAATGAAAACTTGGACGTTGCAAATGGGATATCCCCTTATAAGCATTGAAAAAATTCCGGGTACGAATAGTTACAATATTTCACAAGAATATTTTTTGATGGATGAAGATGCTGTGCCAGTAGAAACACCTAGTAGTGAAACATACGGGTGAGAATAAATATTTCAACTTTTGTCTATTATTAAACTAGTTGAGATCAAATATCATCGTGCATTAGAACAGCACATTTTTTGGTTGTCAATCCCTTGTCAACAACACAATAAAACAGAAATATCAGCGTTATTTCTATGAATAATACTATCTTATGGAATTTTTACAACGAATTTACTTTAATTCAATATTTAGCTATAAATGGTACGTGCCACTGACTTACAAAACAAGTACCCAAATAGACTCAAACAATATCTCAATGAAATGGATGGAACCTGGGGTCGCAACTACAGGTATGTTTTTTACCACAAAGTATTTCGATTTCATTGTAAGCATGTTGTTTGCTCATAGAATATTGTTAACCTTTTTTTTGAATTTAAGTAAGCAAGTAGGATCCTTTCCAAGAATACAAGAATGAAACCAGCAGTGATACCATAATTCAATTCAACACGAATTTGAGAAAATTAGGAATAATATCAAAATCGAATTCAGCTAATTAGCCAAGTATATATGTCATCTGCTGACATAGAGTATTCAAATTTGCTATTATATGCTTGTTCAATTCCTGTGTGAAACAGAATAAAATCCAAAGAACACAGTTCAAATGTCAATCCCGAGGTTAATGACTTTTATTTTACAAAAAGTGGTTAGTGACAAAAGAAACTCTCATTGCAGTTAATGTTGGTGAAAATGAATATCTTCTTGCAAACATTGATGCAATCGGATACTACAGAGTAAAGTATGATGCCTATACTTGGCAAAAAATAATAGAGACACTCAAGTCGAATCAATATAAGGTATTTGAGCAATTAGTTAGTGACATAATGTTATTAAAACACCAAAACCTTTATCAATTTAGAATTTGAATTTATTACTTAAACACATAAAACTGTTCAAATTTTCTTCATCAGGATATTTTATGTTGTATATAATCATAACATAAATTTTCGGAAAATCTATTTGCAACTATGGATTTAATATTTTCTACAAAATTTATTAAAACAATTTATTACTTACACATAACACTGTTCAACTTTTTTTCACGTTAGAACTGATCATCCATTGTCAATTCACAACGCGTATATATATTATATATACGATATCATATGCCTGATCGTTTTGTCATCTTAATTCCTTCCATTAAAATTTGCAAATCCAATTAGGCAATTGACAATGACCTAGTAAAATAGTCAAGACACAATTGTATGTATACATATTAGTCATTTTATTGTATGGTGCTTTGGGGTCATCGAAGATGGGAGGTTATTGCTGATTATTCGAGGACGGTTTTACAAGATATCGTAATAATTTTCCTCACAGAAATTTTTTAATTATTATTGAACTCCACTTTTTTAATTCAACGCGACTTTACTTTAACTTGCTCAAGTATGAACATCAAATATTGAATTCTTTGCTTGATGCTGGATCTAATAATATTTCGCAGAATTGAAATTTTTAAGTATGAAAATCACAAATTCATTTGATACCACAAATAATTTTTCAGGAATTTTCTGTTGAAAACAGAGCCCAACTGATAGATGACGCATTCACACTAGCAAGGTATTTAAATAACTAATTAAGAAATATATACTGCGACAAATGGTTATCATGGTTCTGGTTAGTTAAAGCCAGTTATTGAGTGTAAGTCTAAATATTTAATAATCAAAATCTTTAAATTGGCTTTTTGAGAATATAAATAAATAAAAAGCTTTTTCTAGATTGAATCCTTAAGATGTGTCTCTTTTAATTCAGGTCAGGAAGACTCGATATAACTCTTGCTCTGGATATAAGTACATATTTAGCAAATGAAGACGAATATGTACCATGGGGATCTTTCACACAAACAATGGAATATTTTGATTATATGTTTGGAAGATCGGAAATTTATGGAAAATTTCAGGTAAAAATGAAGTCCTTCTATTCTATTCCTCAATTCTATAAATGAGAAAAAATGTATAATGGCAACAATTACAAAATGTAACGAAATAACGTCCTAATTGTTCTAAGTTAATTATTTGTGTTGTGACTCCTAATTTTTCAATCAGTTTGCTAACCTGAAACTTTCGAATTTGTATACGAGAATACAGCAAAATATATAATCTATTTATGTAAGCTGTTGTTGGGCATTTGGCGTACTTTGCAACTCTTCGGGTAAGGTATGCAATAGCAATGTTCCGCGGTATGGCAACATTCCTCAATTTTCATATATATATATATATATAATGAAATCGAGTGCATTTTGTAGAAATTTTTTCGAAGCCTTGTTACTCGCGGATTTTATAATGAAGAAACTTGGATAGATAACAATTTGAAGGACTCTGCCTTAATCAAAAGGTAAGTAGAGTCGTACGATTTCACTGTTGGAGCTGTTTATTATGTCCTCAATATGAAGTGTGTCAAGGTAGATTTAAAGCAGTTCAAGTAGCACGGCAATTGAAACATTTATTGTCATTGAATAGTTCAATACAACGGGACAGAATTTTGTAAATAAGAAAATGTATTTTGTTGATAGAGCACGAGTGTGAGAGGATGATAGATTGGTACTGCTCACGTTGGTGACAAATACCTTCTTCGGACGTTTAGATATAGAAATTTAAAAATGTATTGCCAAACCAGTCTTAAGTTGCCTCTGCACAAAGATCGGAAAATATACCCCCGAATGATATAAATATAAACCAATATCTTGGAATAGATCAATATATAATATTGTTTTTAGATTGGCTAAAAGAGAAGCTGTCAAAATTGCATGCGGATTCGAAGACTCATCATGCATTGAAAAATCTAGATTACTTTACCGTCGTTGGATGCGGAACCCAGAAAGAGAAAGGTGAATAAAGTTTAAAAAAACAATAATTTCACTGGCATATCATCGTAAAAATACCAAATATTACATAATTAGATACGAAGTGTATATATATATAAATCGAATTACTTAATTCTTTTTCGTGCTGTAGGGGTGATTTTGTTGTTGAGAAAAAACTACTTTCCACCGCAATTAATGGATCAACCAATTTAGATTTTTCAGTACTAGAATATGGAAGAAGTCACTAGAAGGCTATTACTTTAACTTTTGTAATTTCTTTAGAGTTTCATGAACGCCGATAATTCACCATCTGCCCTACCCTACCAATATCTATGCGCAAATTATGTATTAATATGTTTGAGAACTGATTTTTTTATCACTGTTGTTGTTGTTGGGAAAATTCTCATAACGAACGGCCGATCAATTTTCAATTTTTCAACTTGGCAGAAATGCATTACATTTTCAAATTTCCTCTCAGTTTTTTTAGGATCCAATATTCGAAACTAAATTATTCTGTTTTAGCTAAATGAAGGAAACATTTTTCATTCAGGCACGTTTGATCGCTTACGTCATAACGTTCTCAAATTTTATAGCAAACTCGGTTCTCTGAGGTCCGACCGTAGCCGTTCCGATGCGCGAATTTCGTGGCTGTATATTTGGGCATTGTTGTTTTGTTTTTTTCAATGTACATCATATGATTGTAAACTTATGCTCGTGTTTCATTAGGATTATCAGAAGTACATTCCGAAAATACGTGTACTGCGCTGCAATTCGTCATGGCGGACTAGAAGAATGGGATTTTGCTTGGAGTAAACACCAGCATAGCACAAATACTCAGTTGAAAGCAGATTTAAGGTGATATTAATATTATTGCGTCAAGAACCACATTTGTTAAACCGCCATTTCTTACTTTTTGTGGAATATGTTTGGTATCAAATATTTGAGTCTTTTTTTCTATGGACGAAAAGCAGGGTTCGATATGTCGATTTATACATGTTTTAAAAAAGAAAAGTTCTCTTTCGCTCCTCATTGGTGAATACAATGATTGAACTAGAATTCCCACCATGCATATTGGTTTTTACGTTGACGCTTCTATTCATATAACTGATACATCCGAGTTATATTTGTAGAACTGTTCTTAGACCAACGACGTAGTTGAATACTTACCCATCTCCTTATGCTATTAAAAGCAAAAAATACTAAATTTTCACTTTCATAAATCCCTAAATCCTTTGATTGTAACAATATATAACATTTCAGGTATGGATTATCCTGCAGCAAAGAGCCTTGGATACTTTCAAGACTTATAAAATACTGCAGTAATGAAACATTGGTCGGAATAAAGACTGGATACCTATGTTTATTGAGTATTTCAGATAACGAATATGGACGTGACTTGTTTTGGAGATTTCTCTCAGAAAACTGGAACGAACTTGTAAATAAGTATGTACATCGTTCAATTTAAAAAATAAAATAAATGTAGATAAAACAATATGAAGTTCATAAAATACTTGTTGGTTAAAAAATATTCAATGTTTTGTGACAATATCTGCATTCAGATACATGAGCGGAAATCCGGACTTTGATTCAGTTTTTGTCGTACCCACTCAACGCTTTTCGACACCATACGACTTGAAACAGGTAATATCGAGAATATATTTGAATGATATACTGTACAGGGTGTCCCAAAAGTAGGTGGTGGCCCAAAAGTAGGTATACAGTTATTAAACTATTTTATATGCTTCGAAGCTACTTGCAGTTCACTTTATGTTACTTGTTAAGTACCACAAAAATTGCTTATTTTTTTAGATAATAAATCTAGTGTGAATTTTACATTAGTTTTCTAGCTGCTTGGAAGGTAATAAAAAATAAATAAAATACCTGTATACCTTTGGGGCACCCTGCGTAATAATTAATTCTGTGAAGCATAGCTAAATATTCCGGAAATACCCGGACACACGCGCAACAAGATATTGAGCTGTAAACACTGCTAATCGGAGTCACACCTTCTTATATTTGTCAACGATGTTCAGTCTTATACGAGTTCCTTTTGTAATAGTTGAAAAAATCTTTTCTTCTTCCTTCACCAAAGTTAGTCAGCAAGGTCGGCTGTGTCAGAAATGACACGTCCTTCAAATTTGGTAATAGCATTTTGCAATCAACTCAGCATCACAAAATTTTTCTAGATCACCGAATTTCGATCACGTTATCGGGATAGTTTGAGATCGGCGTGGCGTTCACTCGATGGAGCAATGGAATCGATAAAAAACAACATCAAATGGAGAAAAGAAAATGAAAACAAAATAGGAGAATGGCTCGATAACTACCTGGCAAATTTAGAAGAGTAGTCTTCTCAAAAGTGTTATAAGATATTCAAAAAGACACTATCTTGATGAATTGGTTGGATTTTTTATTTGAGTTCTATTGAATCATTGAAAATATACAACCAGCGTGGAGTAATCATAAAATAATGGATAGTAATGGATTGAAATAAATATGATGAGTATAATTTCTGCTGCCCATATTCAATAAACGTCTGAAACATGTCAATTATGTTGCCTGGTTGTGACCAGAAATCGTGGATATTCTCCACAAAGTTGTGGATAAGTTTGACAAGAACTGGGTAAGTTACCTTCAACCAAAATGATATAATTTTCATTCACTACTCAAGTCCGAGCTTAATTCGCTGACGTTAGATAGTGTAAGAATAAATAGTGTTGATATACAGGAAGAGCCAATAGAATAATTGCTTCCTGTAATATCTACGTTCAATTGATACATGCTTTTTCTGTGAACGGTGACTTGCTTGGTGATATCGCAACAAAATAGGTGAACGATTGTGATTTTAAATTTGTGTTCTCCATTTGTCGATGCGTATCCCGGGGAGAGATTACTAGATTTGCGAAGACGATATTATCGGAGCCCAGAAAATTAGCGCGCGATTCTATTAGTAGAGCTGGTTAATTTTTGATTAAAATTATTACACCCAACCATGAACATACATAACATATATATATCATAAATGTTGTTCACACGATAAGCCTTGCGATTAGTGTAAGTATCATCCTTGGCATAGAACTGCTGCCACAGTCACGGCTATTTTAATGCGCCGCCGTTACCAATTATTTTTAAACTTCGGTAATATGACACCATGTCGGTAGCGATGATACAAATTTTATGAGCGGAAGAAATATTTCAATATCTGCAGACAGACGTTGCAAGTTATCTGAACATTTTCGAGTTCTTAAACGAGTGTCGATGTGTTAATTTTTTTTTATATGGAAGGTCTATGCCACGGGCGTTTGCACATGATGTTTAAAAAAGGTCATGTCCGCGCCGCTTCTCGATAACTAGTATTCGTTTTCCACGTCTCACTTCACCCTGAAATGCCATTTTTTTTTATAATTTATTGTGATTTGTATGAGTGTTGAAGATTAAGTTTATATTCGCTAGTACCATGCTTCGCCGTTTCAAAGTTCGTCCATATCAAACAGAACGTTTCATCATTCGAATGTGCCGAACTGACAATTCACCTTTGAACACCTGATAATGATCGCCATCTGTATCAATTTGTTGTCATCCAATCAATTCCATTGTTGCGCACAGCGTTTCGAAAATAGTCCGATCAAGAATACTCAAAATTGGCCTCGTATTTTTGAGTATTGCATTGAGGTTATTGGCTATAACCCTAACCCTTGTTAGAATCCAGTCGCAATGTCGATGTTTTCCGACCTGGGGTTAGAGTTAAGGTTCTAGATATCTAATACTGAAGTTTTGTACCTAAAAAATCAAGCTTCTACATTATAGAATAAAAAATAAAAACTTCTTTTCGAAGCAAAGCTTCAGGAGAAACACAAAAAATCAAGCCCTCCAGATCCAGGCTGGACCCTAATCTCAGCCTCGGCAATCAGTTTACTACTCACAAAACGCTGAGAACTTCAATAGCTCAAACATTTTCAGGATGAGTATATTCCGTTGAGGGATAGTCTTAAAGAATTCATGTGCCACACATCAAACAACACAAGAATTCGGGACATATTGAAATGGAATGTTGAATGCATGGAACTCGAAAAAAAGGACCTATTTTCCCAAGACAAATCTCCTAGAGAGAAATGCGAATATGCATGCATATGAAAATCTTTGATAAAAAATATCTAATGAGAATATTAGGAAACTATGACATCTATAGATTTATTTAGGACCCACTATTAACAAACCCTCTTGGCAAACACCAATTGGAAATATCTTTAACTATCTCTCGGACAATTTGCCCCGACAATTGTAGTTTCTTAGATTACGGCAATATTGGAAGGACTTCCATAGTACTTCAGTATATTCAAACCTTCTGATTTAATTATAGTTTAACACCTCTGAAGTTCATTGATATTATCTCAATTACTCAAATCGTGAAAATTTGTGGATTAAGGTTGGCGTGTCAATTGCCAATGCCCAGAAAAATATTATCACTGGAGTTGTATACAAGCATCCTCGTAGCGGCATAGTAAATTTGACAGAAGCGATGGATAAATGGCTCTGTAAGATGAAAAATCAAGTTAGTCAATTTATGATTATGCGTGGTTTTAATATTAATCTACCAGCAAGCCAATAATATACCAGCCAATAAATATATTGACAGGCTTCTATCTCACCTGGCTTTACCTATTATTTATTACTCATCCCACAAGAGTCACTCCCACAGCATAAACGTTAACCTCACCTTAATAAACCACATATACACGAACACAATAGATTACTATTCTAAAAAGTGCAAACTAACAAAACCAGATCTCAACCTTACGAATAGCACATTGTTTGAGCTATTACAAAAAAGTTTTGTGGCGAATTTGATTCTATTAGTTTTTGATAGGCTCCATATTCCTTCTTATAGTATTTGTGTTAGCAGTTTTATGGTTCGAAAATGAAAAAGCAACAGCTATTGAAATTTGAGGTCTAACTTCAAAATTACTTGACATGTCTACATAATATTGTAAAATCACTTCTTGAACTAACAAAACTAGTGCATGCTTGCTAAATATATATATATCTCTTTTCTATATTACAGAAACGTTTACTGGATGGTTTTGATGGGTCAAGTGTTCATTGGGATATCAGGCTCCATATTCTTCCTTCTCGTATTTAAGTCAGCAGCTTTGCGGTTTTCCTCAAATAAAAGAGCAGCGGCTATTGGAATCGCTTGGACAGGGGGCATTATCATTACATCATCACGTTATCTGGACTCAATTTTCCCTATATGTTGCAAAACACTTCAGATGTGACTGACGTTTATCTGGACATTTCTACAATACAAACAACATATTTTGGCCTTATAATCGTCCTGTTGGTATTATCACTTGTGGTTGGATGGCTAAACATGGTCGATCTCCCACAGTTTCCTCCTCCTGAATCTCAACAAGTGTTAAAGGAAAGCAAGCAACCGATGGAAGAAAGCAGTATTCAAATATTAAACATCATTAGAAATCTCGAGAAAGCTCGAGATTTATGTTTAAACTCAGATTTTGCTATAATAACAATTATCAGATGTTTTCAGTCTTCAGTTATTGGTTTGATAATCATTCTTGTGTCGTCAACGATATTACGCCCTTTTTCTGATTTGTCGGATGAGTTCGGTGGAGATGTAAGCACAATGGGAACAATTTTAGATTCTGTTTTATTCATGCGGGCAAGTAATCTATCATTTTCTATAAAATATCTCCCACTTCTAAAAGAATGATGTTCACATTTCATTTGTCAAATATGTAGTTAATAGGCAACTTTGTGGTTTACGATACATTATATATCAGGATATAGGTATTAAGTTAGAAATAAAGCAGATTGTAAGCATGACCTTTATTTGTATTACAGTATTCACTGGGATGTTCGTTTGCTGTATTGTTGTATACTTTGGCCATTTGTTCAAGGATATTTATACAGTTGCAGTGTTTTACATCGTAGCAACTGGAATACGAGGAACAACAGGTGTTTGTCTTGGCGAATATCTTTCGAAGTTAACATATCCTACAAACAGTGTCGTTGTAATAGCTTTATACAATATTCCGTTATCATGGTATCTCTAGAACGATTTCTCATGGAATAATATGACGGAACTTATGCAGTTTTTGTTCTCATTATAGCAAACGGATTCAACTCTGCTTCCTGGGTGTACAACTTCTGACTCTGCGAGATCGGAAAGGGCATTGAAGTTATTCAAAACTGAAGATATGCCTCTTGGGGCTGAACACGCACCAATTAACAAAAAACAACCCTTAACAAGATCAAAGCCATATACATATATCAAACCAAACTACCACGTAAAAAAATGATTAAACGCGCGTCTTTTCCAGCGCGGTTTTAACATGATGGTGAGGTTACGCGGTATGGACCTATGGATCGTTTTGTTATTATGTTCTTGTTCTTATTGTTGCTCTTGTTCTTGTTAGAATTTTTCTTCATATTGTTTCTCTTTAATTACTGGACCAATTGCATTGAAATTTTCAATGATTAAAGATTGTATTTTTGGCTATTACTTTTTCTTATTCCCAAATTTCCCATGAATCCTATTCATCCAAAATTTCGCTGTATTATTTTTTAACTCATGGGAACACGGTTTTAAAAACTGAATCATGTAGCATAAATCATCTTCACAAGACCCGGTAAAGCTAGGACAGTTCGCATACCGCTACCCGAATAGTATTACAATGGAAATCCCGTGGGATGTGGTGGGACAGGCATAAATTGCTACGGAATGGAATGAGACGGAAAAATATGTCCCATGGACAAGCCTAGATATAAATCGCTGACTACGTGGTCGATTTTTGCTAGCAAATGAAAATTCCGTCTCTTGCTTAGCAAAGGAAATGGTAGAATTTTTAAACATATTAAATATTATATTAGACTAAAAAACCTTGCGGTAATACGTTATATATATATACGTCGGTTTTGGATCACATACATACTATACATCGTCGTTGTCTACCCTGTTAAGAACATTGAATTTTTTAGTTGATATGCAACAGATTCGGATTCTCAACAGTTTGAGTTTATGTATAACATTACGGACATTATTTTTTATTACATGTAAGTGGAATGTGCTATTATTTAATTAGTCTCTATTTTCATCTTATTACTATGAATAACTTATAAAAATGTTTTGAATTATCATCGTAAATAATTTTTCAGTATTTTTTATTGCGAATTGGTCTTATTGGTCACTTTTGCAATTACAGGAACATCCGTTGCATAAACGACGAAAAACATTTACGAAGTGTTTATTATGTTTTTACGAGAAGATTTGAAATGTTCTCACGGAATTGAACGACTGCATTAATATGTAGTACTAACCAACAACTCTTTTTTAGTTTTTGGTTAAAAAATGGACAGATCCAATAAACTCATTTAGTGTCAGGTTGAATAGGACTGCGTGAAACGCGATGCACGGATAAATTAATTTTTTTTGTGCGATCATAGATTTGGTTTAATTTAACGCGAAGTTTTCAGGTTCGGAATCTTTGTAAAAAACGTTGATATTAGCATCATGATACTTCTGTCATCACCGGTGGTAATGACATTATCAAGGCATACGCATAGGAGACCAGCAGTTCTGTTTTTCAATAAGGAGTCAATAGCAATCTGAAAAACGGACTCCATTCGTTACTTCAAAAAGTGACTTGCAGGGTTCTTTATCTTTGCACCCACAAACAAAAGCACCCATACACTTGCACCCACCTACAGGCCGTACCGGTCGACATTAGAACCAATGGACCTATGCACCAAAGGACTTAGCACCCGTTTGCGTTTGCAACCAGGTAAATTTTTGACCACGGACATTTGAACTCATTAACATTCGCACCCATGGTCATTTGCAATATAAATCAGTCTTGATTTACAATAATAATATATTTAAGGATGTTAAAAATCCAATATTGTCAAATAGATCAATTTGACTGAATTTTGAAAACTCCACACCTTCATCAACTTCAAAAACAAAATATATATACTAATTTTAATTACGTTAACAGTTTTGACCCTAATAAAGCTGGTATTCATAAAGATAAGAAAATGCCGATATATAACTATACTAATTTATATGAGCAGCTACAAATCTAAGAATAAATATGATTATTTTCATATTCTTGTAAAAATGGTATGATAATTTTATCCATCAGTAATTGACTACTGGCATTGATCCATCTCGTGATTAGAATCCGAGATTATTACATTATATTTGCCAGTGTCATGACGATTTATTACAGCCCTGAATTATTAAAGTGTTCATAAATTGCTCTTGCTATCTAATTCTTTTTGGTTGATTCGCGTATGTATGTATCACACATACCTTTCGCCATTGTAGTAATTCACATATATGTAAGTAATTTCCATCCGACAAAAATAGCATCCATCATTTTAGGGGGGTTTCTGTATGTAAGTTATGCGTAAGTTTTAGGTAATCATGCCATGTTAATGCGTAGTGACATACAAACATATCGGGAAGACGGGAATAAAGGAACCTGTCGCTGGTGAAGTGGTGAGTTCGATACAAAAGATACCTCGTTCTTGAAATTTTAAATTCCATTACTGCTTGTGTGAGACACAACCTAATAGACACACCACTCTTATTTCCTACCTAGACTTCAATCGACTAATTTCCTGCTAAACAGATTACGAAACTGCGCAGCGCGTAAGAATCCAATCATAGATGTAAACAGACGAGATTCAGTGTACGAGAAAAGCGACTATTGTCAATTATAAGGTATTTTGGAGTAATCATTTAAGAAAGAACAACAAACACGAGGGGTTTAGGTGATAAGCCTACATGCCGTGTTTCCCAGAAAATAACCCCTCCCCTTAAGGGAGACGGCGAGTTTTGAGGAAATAATCAAAAGAGTTCTATATAGAACTTGGTGAAGTTGAGATCCACTTCCTTAACTCTTCAATGCATATCCGTAGCCTAACTCCCCATTTTCCGACCTCTAAAAGCAATTTCCATCAATTGTAAGACCACTGCCCCTCGGCCCTTAATGGTCAGCAATTCTCAGAAAATTTCGCAACACACCGTTGGCTCACTGCTTTATCTTTGTTGTCGATGAGCAGTATGATTTTGCCTAATCATCTAACTAATATCTAGAGATGGTTATAGAAAGTATATTAAAGGAAATCAGACCACGTTGTTTTTTTTTGCCGATCCAACATCCAACGCAAACCTGATTAGCGCAAAAGCACATGTACAGCACATCAAATATCATCTTTAAAAAAAATATCTGAAGTGTTAAGTGTGGTCAGCAATTCTCAGAAAATTTCGCAACACACCGTTGGCTCACTGCTTTATCTTTGTTGTCGATGAGCAGTATGATTTTGCCTAATCATCTAACTAATATCTAGAGATGGTTATAGAAAGTATATTAAAGGAAATCAGACCACGTTGTTTTTTTGCCGATCCAACATCCAACGCAAACCTGATTAGCGCAAAAGCACATGTACAGCACATCAAATATCATCTTTCAAAAAAATATCTGAAGTGTTAAGTGTGTACATAGGATTGAAGGTAATAAGAACACATATAGCAAACAATATAAATGCCAAGTGTGGCGACATAGTACGGGATCAAATTATTAGTACTATGGGAAAGTCATCTATCAATAACAGAGAGTAATCTTAAAAATGGTATTCTAAGGTATATATGCCTGAGGAGAAATCAAGTTTAACGAAATTGCCGAAAATCTAATAATTAGCTAATAAAAGTTGACATTTCACTTTTACGTATTTCCTCAATATAGCTTAATTTCGTAATAACAAAATAATTCAAAATCGAACGTGTGTAACTTAGTTAGTGACATTCCCGTGATGTCTCTAAGATTTGCTAAAGTTCACGTTTAAACGTGTCAAACTGACAATCCTCCCGAACTAGTAAATAATAATTTGCTATCTGCATCTATAAAATTTTTATTTCGAACTAAATTATATTTTAAAACATTCGAGGCACCCAGAAGCGGCCTCAGAAACGCGCTACACCCTTATATACATTGGGGAAACAAGCACTATGTTATCATTACTTTATTATAGAAAACTTTCCATCGGAATATTTTATTGTTTTTGAATATTCAAACACATTTAGTTTATCAAAAAATCGTTCTGTATTGTATTACTTATTTTCATACAATATATATTTTGTTCTTCTTCGCAAACGTTTAAGTGGTTGTGTAATATATATAGATTTAGCGATGTTAGGGATTAGTTTTTGTTAATGGTTCTTCTTCAGCATCTCGAGTTTCAGTAAACTTCGTTGCTATTTCGGATCTTCTGTAGACAGACGTTGTGCACGCAAGAATTAGAACTGATAATCCATTCGCTATTACGGGAACAAATACTGCATAGGTTTCGTCATATCGTTCCATGAGAAATCGTTCCAAAGATACCATGATGAATGTTCCCAGTTGCGCCGGAATATTGTATAAAGCTATAACAACAACATTATTTGTAGGATATGTTACCTCCAAAAGATATTCGCCAAGACAAACAGCTGTAGTTCCTCGTATTCCAGTTACTATGATGTAAGATATCGCAACTGCATAAAGATCCTTAAACAGATGGCCAAAGTATACAGACACAGAAGAAACGAATATACCCGCAAATACTGTAAAAAAGCCATGATTACAATGCGTTTCAATAATAACCTGAATCATATTCCTAATATATTATGTATTGTAAACAACAAAGACGCTAAACTATATATATATATATATATATTTGACAAAAGGAATATCAACATCATATTCTTGAAAGAAGTTCTTAAAATTTAGAAAATGGGAGACAATTCATAGAAAATAATAGTTTACTTGCCCACAATGCACATTCCTCTGTAGTGTCCGTATCTGTCCAGGTACCTTCCCACTAGTATAGATAGAATAGATGCTAAAATTGTTCCCATTGTTCTTACATTTCCACCGAACTGATCCGACAATTCAGGAAAAGTTCTTAAAAGCATTGACGATACAAGAATGATTGTCAAACCAAAAACTGAAAATTGAGAACTTCTAAGAATTGTAATTATCGCAAAATCTGAGTTTAAACATAAATCTCGAACAATTCTAAGATTTCTAATGATGTCGATAGTTTGCATACTGCTTACTTCTTCGCTTTCCAACAACGCCTGTTGAGATGCAGATGGGGGAGGAGGTGGGTGATCGGCAATGTACAGCCATCCAACCACAAGTGAGGACAATAACAAGACGAATATAAGACCAAAACTTGTAAAATATGAGTTTCGTATTGTAGCCAATTCCAGAAAAGCTACAGTGGCATCTGAAGTGTTTTGGAGCACATAAGGAAAATAGACTGCAGATAATGTACCACCTAGATTGTCTGCTGTCCAAGCAATTCCAATAGCTGTTGCTCTTCCGTTTGCGGGAAACCATGAAGCTGCTAACTCAAATACTAGGAGATAGAATATGGAGCTTGATATCCCAATTAACGCCTGACCTATCAAAACCATCCAGTAAAAGTTTCTGTAAATAACGAAGATATTTAGGTAGTATACACAAACTAGTTAGTTTTGTTAGTTCTTAATTTGATCGTCGAGCAGAATTTTTTTTTGTAATCTGGTCGATAGCAAAAAATTCAAAACGTGTGAGAGAGAAAAAGGTTCAATGACCTGAGGTAACGTTATTTATAAGTAAATGGATATCGGTTTTCATATTTTGTGTATTCGAAGATTTCGTAATTCTCTACTTTGTAATTTTGTTTTTAATAAATGAAACTAAAAGACATCTCTCAACAATAAGCCCTAGTGTTATTTTTCGAAAGAATATTGGAATAGGACCCTGTCTTATTTAGGGGAAAACACGATAGTTGTATATATTTGAAAATCATTTTAAAAAGACTTTTAATCTTGTATAATTGACAATAATATGTAGTTCATATTTGCATAATATGAAGTACTACGATCAATGGGAACATGCGACGCATGCATGGCTTTTCTTTGATTTGAACCAACTTTAGATCGTTATATATTTGTTCAGATATATTGTTAAAAAAACTTTTTTCTGCAAATACTGACCTAGACATAAATCCAATTATGTCTGCTCCTATTCCGATCACTGCTGCAAAGAGACCATATAAGAACAACGAACGGACTCCTGTGATTCTTCCAGTCATAACAACAATAAATGGAGCGATGGTACTGAAAATATCGCTTATGATACCAAGTATATCTACTTCGTATGCACCGATTTTAAAATAATACGAAACAACGTTGTTAATGATTCCATACGATAAAGTGGTAAACTGGTGATTGAACAATCCTATCCACAAAATTGTCAGCCAGGCCCATCTTATAGGATACGCTTTGTATTCCATCTTGACAACAGCAGTAATTCCAACTACTGATTTGGCATGCGTTCTTGCGATATGTTATATTTTACCTTTTTATCGTCGCGTTAAAGAGTATCGTTAATAATTTGTCAACAGTGAATCGGAAATAATTAATAAAGACGTTCGTATAACGGTTATTACACCGACGTTTGTAGTGCAAGTTTTGCGTACAATCTTTTCTACTGTAAATCAAAGTAGAAATCCATGAGCTCCGCATATGTAATTTGAAAACAAAATGAAAGCAAAATGCTCGCTATCGTTTGGCTCGCATAAAACGACAAACCACGATTGTTCTCACATGGACCAAATTCCTCGTTCATTTCAAAAAGTTTTACAGGTAATCATTTGATCAGGCTCAACAGAGGTTTGATGCTGTTTGTTCGGAGTATTTTATATAAGCCTTTTCTGTGAGCAGTTTTAATGAGAAGCATTGTCATTACTAGAGATCACCCGTGTGGTAAGCTAAAAGATAAGCATAGTAGCACAACACTCCTATCTGGTAACTGGGCTTTATCAAACTAAATATTCAAATAACGAATGTTTTAAATTTTTTTTCACGTTAGGATTAAACATGAAAAACACTTTTCAATCAGTTACAGTTAATGTTTTGACTGTCGTAACTTAAGTTTAGTTCATTAATTCACAAATAAAAGCAAGAGTTTCACAGATACTAGGCTTCACTTCAATAAAACATTAGCAGCCCCCAGTAGTACACAAGCACCTACAAAACATGACTAAGATAAAGCATATCAAGTATGACTCAGCAGGTAAATTACTCTTCTCCGTGAACAGATACAACAAAGTTAAGAATACCAAGATAAGCAATATTAGTTACATGAGGTATGCAATATGCTGATATAAATTACAACACTCTACCCCCTTCATTTTGTTTTAAATTATATTCCCAATCGCCAAATTTTTCGAGAGGCTTTCTTAGTGTTATTGGTCTTACAACGTCGCTGTAAACAGGCACTTGAGTCATTTCGCTTCCATTCTTGAAGGTTGGTTTTCGAACTCAGTTTTTGGAAAACTTGAGATTTGATATTTTGTTTAACAGGCATTACCAACCCTTCAGACTTGTCACTTTCATCAGAACGTGATACTTTATGAGTACATTCAAGAGGGGCTAGATCTTGAGTCGATACAATGGACTCTCATTCATCTCTATATTTTTTTGAAGCAAAGTCTGGATTAGCATCGAGTACATCTACCTTTTCGCATAAAGGATTTATTTCCAACGAATTTCCCAACCAAGACAGATCCTGTTATGGCCGACCAAGTTGGCCACGCTTTACCCAGCATTCATTGACTGGGAAAATTGAGAAACAACTCATTAGGAGTAGCATTAACAGACGCGCACAAAAGAAATCCTACAGCATAAAGGGCTTCAAGTAGTACACACTCCCATAGGTAATTCTTTAATCATTTATCTCTAAGTATCCATTTAACTGATCGCCACAGGGTCTGATTCATTCTCTCACATTGTGCATTTCCAATAGGACGATGTAGAGCTGTTCGGCTTGTGCTCACTACACGAAAATGCAAAAATGAATCACTGTTAACCAGTTTATTGTCATCTAATAGCCAATCATCATTCTCTTTCGATGGAGGTCTTCATTAGTTACACGAACTTGAGAATTATGCAATTCATTACGTATAAAAATTAAATCATTTGTTTTGTATTGACGTGATTGTGTTGCTATTGGTTTCCAACCATCGGAGAGATTCCTGAGCAAGCGAAGAGTTTCAACATTCGCAGCAGCTACATTGCAAGTAGTTGTAATGCTATCTTTTCCCTGAATACGAAGGTTTTTATTTTCTCCTTTCATTACAAACGTCGCACTAATTTGCAACATCACGAAATCTTGATCGAGAATTATGTCGACTCAAGAATTTTGAACTACTTTGAAAAATAAGAGTGGATAATATTTTCAAAGCTTGTTCTCAGTGTTAAATCTTCATTTTCGAGAAGACGAACACGAGTTGATTATCCATTGATAAAAGCATCTTTTGTTAGCTCATCACGGATTAGTTTCCAGCTACAGATTTAAATATATATTCTTCAGCTAAACTCTTCAAAGCTAATAAAAACTCTGTATGCGTTTCTCAGGGTTTATGGCTTCTAGTCATTCAACTAGTTTGACAAGGTGTAAATTGTTGTTGTTAACAAAAAGAATATGAAGAAGGCACAGTGCGATTTGCAGAAAGAGTATTCATCTTTTGAGAGAACTAGGATGAAAAAGAGATATACTTCATGATCGTTATCGTTTTGAACCCATGCTGCAGTCATAAAGGGGTTTAGTACACACAAGACAGTATCTAGGCCCTGTCTAATATGTCTTTTTCCGCAAAAGCAGTTTTGAGATAAAGGGAAGTCTCTCCCAGTAAAGTTTGTCTGATTAAGGATTATATAAGACCACTTGTAAAAGAATCTCAAATCATTTCTGATTTATAAACTTCAGATCAAACCGCTTGTAACTAGCGGAATTTTGCTAATTGTTCCAAACTATCAATAAATTCTGAAAAGCTTCTGTCTAGGGTTTTGTTTAAAAAGAATTGCTTTAATTCTTGTTTTTTTGCCTGTTTTGTTGAAAATGGCTGTACTATTTGATTTTTTTGTATTAAGTAGGTTAGGGAAAAATGGATGTAAAAACTTGCAAAGCGATTCTTATTCGCAATAAAGCCTTCGAAACGCCACAAATATCGATGACTTGGCCATACAAGCTTTCTCAAACTTAAGTTAATGCGTCCGCAACCGTGGTTAGCGCAGGAAAACGCAATCATTACTAGAGATGTACCGATGTATCGGTATCGGGTATCGGTATCGGCAATATCGGCCATTTTTTCGGTATCGGCCATGTATCGGTATCGGTTAGATTAAGGCCGATATTTCCGATATATTTACCATTTTGATATGGTCCAGAATGTTTTAAAAGATACGTTGGAATACTACTTTTTAATTTATTCTTTGTCTGGAGAGATCGTGAGCTATGAGCCATACATGTCCCACCCCCGCGATAGAACAGGATTCACGTGTTTTTAGCTATTTATCAGCCAAACTAGCTCAACTAATTTGGCTATTTTCGCTGTCAAATATTTATATTGACATTTTTAATATTACATAATAATTATGAAGAAATATATCAACACATCACATAACAAAAAGCAACTAGGCACCCAGTTTTAAATCCTACAGTGGAATTGGGGTCCCTATTAACGGCACATAGACTTTTGGCACGGGTATAAATTTTCACTGTTTGTCGTCAAGTACGAGTGCCATTTAGTCCGTCGACATCGATAAACTAAATTCCGACACAATTATCCCTCTACGCAGGTATTAATTTTAATTTTGTTTAACTACACAATTACTTTATAGATATATTAGTATGGCCGCCTAGCCCTAGGCTGTCTCAAAATATATGATAGCAATTGTAAAATATTATAAAATAGTAAAGTAAAAAAACATCCTCGACGGTTATGGGTAATCCTCCTTTTTGTCGGTGCTGATTGATAGTCTTTCATGTTGGCTTTGACTTATTGCTTCGACGATTACGATTAGCCACGAAATAAAAAACTTGTAAAATGCTTTTAATTTGAACGTAGGACGGCGGCGCTAGAATGAGTGGGCGATATTCGATATTCTTTTAAACCCGAATATCGATATTCGAGGATCGCAATATTAACATTAAATTCAAATTGGACATCCCGGCTTATGAGTTTTCTAATTGAACACCGAGATTACTAGCGTTACTGTACAATGTATCTTAATCAGTTAAAGCAAACACCAAACATTAATTGCATATTATGTGATATAACTTTTTTTTTTAGTTCTGAAATAATGTGTACTATGAGCAACGCTCAAAGACCATTGTTTTAACCCGTCTGCCTTACACAGCACACCTAATTAAGTAATAATCACATAGTATCAGAACTCAACGTTTCGGCGTGGTTTCACGGCGATGCAAGGAGTATTTCAGAATAAATATACAGAAAAAAATGATATAAAACAAGCCCTTGTTTTAAAACAGGATGTTTTTTTAGAATTTATGAAAAACCAAACTCTACCTTTGCCCAAGCCCCCGACATATCCAACAATTTCCCATTCAATTGTAGACATATTGTCTTTGAATGAAACTTCCATAACACCCCCTGAGCTCTAATTGACTCATTTACAAATAAACGCAAACTATAATTCTGGATAACGCACATGATTCAACTGACAACTTGAACAAATAGGACTCACTCAAGTAGAGAAGGGATCATACCAATAACAAGGTAATGTGGGGGAATCATCATCAACGCGTTTCAAAAAGTATTAACAAGTTTAAACATGCCCGCACAATATAATGCGATAGTGTAATGTTAAATATTATCACAACTTGTAAAGAACATTATTATCTTATTTCATTTGAAGGAGACTGCGAGTTTTGAGATAATGTTCAAGAGTTTTACAGTGTATCAGCTGTGGCCGATCTCGTGTGCAAAACTTTTACCCGAGATTTAGGTCTGTACTTTTGAAGTACGTCACTTCCCTTATTAGAAAACCCTGAGGTTACCATTCCTGAAATCCGGCAATTAGCGAGAAATTAGAATTTATACCTTGCGTAACCGCCCATAAATTTCGACCAATAAATTATGGGTAGGAAAGATAGAATGTCACATATCTTCGGAGCTTCTCATTCTAACGAACTTGAGAACCACAAAAATTAGTAGTTTTGGCATGCTCTATCATCGCAATTTTTAATTAGACTAGAAAGAGTTAAAATGACGTCACGAGAGTTCAAAAGGTAATGAAAATAGAGGCTCAGATGAACGTACGAACGACCAACAACAGTCCCTTTCCTACGGATACAAAAGTGGCAACCTGTGCTGGATGCGAGTATATATTACCCGATAAATTATAAACAAAAATGTCGATGCAATGCATTTTCCTGACAGAATACAAACAAATAAAGAAATAAAATCAGGTAATTAATTGAATATTTTTCAGTAATAAAAC